TGTGTGGGGACAGATGCCACGAATCTGTACAGGTGCAAAACACGCTACAGTTGTTTGCAGCGATCTATTATGGGACCTGCACGAAACATTGCTCTCTTTTAGAGCAAACGGTGCTTCTGCTGCATGTAGGGTTACCGTGACAAGTGTTCCCTTCAAGACCGTTCCAATATTATTCGAACAGCTGTAATCTCTGGGATCCATGATTTTGATATGGCAGGCATGAGGGAAAATGCCCCACTTACCTTTTCCTCATTGGGAATCGCAGAGTTTCATGCAGCCCCCTCCATTTGCTCTCTTACAAGCACCCATCATTCACAAATGCGCCAAAGTGAGCACCAAAGTTGAAGTGAGTGTGACTCTTGGACTTAAATGACGTGGGCACTAAGTGGTATTTTAGGACGTCTTTTTATGATGTAAACTCAATCTATGTGCCCTAATCATCATAGAAAACCAAAAATTACAGTCATGCATGGCCTTTTTTTTTTTTTCTAAATGTTGTCAAATGTAGTGGCGGGCCCCCTTTTTTTGTGTGTGTGTGTGTCTTTCAGAACAAACTTTTTTTTTTTAAGAATCGGTGAATTAGCTCCTGATCTTGCGCTTACCAGAGAGCGCTGGTTCGCCAACCTTTTAAAATAATCTGTTCTGAAGGCCTTTAACGTGCCCATCTGACCTTGGTTTTAGAAAAGAAGTGTCTTTCTATGTTTGGTTGCATATTTATCAGGGAAAAAAAACCAAGCATGATTGCAATCTTTTTTTTTTTTCGTTTCTTAATATGGTTATGTCACATAGACTGAGTTATTGCCATAAGACAGACCTTCAAAATCCACTTCTGTGCCTCGAAATTGTCACCATTTTAGAAAATCACAAAGGTACTCATCAAATCCACTTTTCATACTTTTTGCCTGCACTTCTAAGGTTTCAGTGAATGTATTCTAGTGCTGGACTCTTTGATTGTACTGTCTCGAATTAAATTTTCTCCATTCATATAATTAAGAATATAATAACTTTTTTCTTTTTTTTTTTGCCTATTACTTTTTTGATCAAAACGGTATTGAGACCTTTGAGAACTAGCTTTCCTAGTATGGCATGTAAGTCAATAAAAGGTTTCAGCCTCGGTCGCTATCTAGATTAGATAGTGACTGCTCTCATACTGGAGCATTTACCCTCCTGTCAACTATGTATGTCACCAGCAGATAATCAGTGACCCACTTGTACTGCACCTCACTCTTTTTTTTTTTTTGTCTCGTTGAATTGTTGCATTTTGTGGATTCCGCTGACTCGGCGGGGCCACACACTGTCCTTAGGAGCTACTCATACTGTAGGCTCCCGGTCCTCCACCATTTTTATTATCGCGTTAGAATAGGAAATGAAGCTCTCTTGATGCACACTCCAATATCTGTGTCGACTTTCTCCAATGGGAAGGACAGCATATTGACAGAGATAGTGCGCAGTCTCCGGCAAGCTGACAAACTTCAGTCGTGTAGGAAAACCCAATCGAGGGGACAACGTGCACAAAGCTGTGCTTTTTCTACATTTCTCTAGTCTCAATCTTTCCTATGTTTTGATGGAATGTGTGGAATAACAATAATAATAATCTGAAAAATAAAGATTTTTATTTGAAGTGCCCCAAAACAACCACAACGGTATTTTAATTGGTGCACCTCGACAAGAACAATATATGTAAGGAAAGTATATACTGTAAATGACTTAATTTTCACAAGGACCTAATTTTAGCGAATCGCCTACAATTCGCGAAAAACAAGTCCCGCGAACAATTCCGGTAAAATGTAAACACATTGGAATCCATATTAAGATCCCACCGCGTCGCAAAAATTAGAACCCGCAAATTATTTCAAAACTTCAGCTTTGACCTAAACCGCGAAATATTGAGCCCGCGAAAAATAAGTCGTTTACAGTATACGTAATTGCACTCAAGACACACTTACCAGTGATGGAAGTGCTGTGCCATTTGCGACAAATTTCTTCATGAACAAAAGTCTGCCACACCTTGCGCCGAAATACCATTTTTGCTCAAAATTGTGCCACACAAGCCCAAATGACAAAGAAAAAGCAAAAAAATTATTGGTTGATTTTAATATTTAGGGAAGTAGGCCGGAGGAAAGGAAAAAAGTACAAATATGTATTTCACACAGCTCTACCCATTGTATAGTTTGTTTCATCTCAGATCAGAGCACAGTTGAAGACTGAAACACAGATGACCGCAAACACTCGTACAAGAAGCGTAAGTCACGGGGCATTCACTGCACTTGATTGGCTTAGCTGATGAAGGAACACGTCAGTGATGCGATTGCTGCGCCTTTTGCACCGAACTGCGCCAAAGGGCTTACACCGCTACATCCTGCTACGGTTAGCCCAAAATGTGAGGAACTTGTGCCAACATTGTGCCAAAACTTGATTTCACTTCATTAATACTGAAAATACAATGGCTCTGGTCCCGCTACACGTCCAAATCGTTATGGTAGGCTCGTACGAATTTTCAGAAATTTCCATTTTAGCCGCAAGCAACTTAGTATCCTGCTTGATCTCTCTGTCGGCGTCAAACACTTACAGTAGTCTGAATTTTTGCAATATCTCTTGTGTTTCTAGTCTGCTCTGGCGTGTAAGTTAGCTTTGTTGGGTGCGCTTCTTACCGTGCTATCGTGCACTGCAGTGAAATGGAAATCATGAAGTAAGCATCACAATTTTGCTTACTTTGCTTCGCTGCAGTGCATCCGAGTGCTAAAGGGAAAGCATTCTCCCAGAGCGGGACGTTAAACATGCAAGCGTCGGGTATATTAGAAATAACAGACTTTGTGAGTGTTAATGTAACAGCTCTTAGTTGCAGTAAGAAATTTTCAAACTGCGGCTAATAATTATGATTGACTGCGATATTCTTGGTGATATCTTATTCAAATTTTGGACTTAGCGAGGCTACTCGCAAGCAAATTTATATGAACTGCTCTATACGTTTATTTTTATTTGAACTCCTTCGTTTGGTTGCTCTCTTTTATGAATGTTTTATCTGTTCGAGGTACAGTCAGTAGAATATATTAAGCCAAATTAGGCGAAGCAGTAGAAGGAAGTTAGGGAGTAACCTTAGCAACTTTGGGTAGATTGTTTTAAGAAGGCATACTTATCGTTCCCGTGCCGATCTCCGTTTTGTTAAGGTTCTACATACAAAATGTAATTGATTTTCATAATTTAATAACAAAGTATATTTTTTTTAAAATCTGAATTAAGATTTTATTTTTTGTTTTATTACAACCTTTAAACGTGAAAGAAACATCAGTTCGTGTGCTCAAGATTATTCTAACATTCTTTTAGTGTAATATACTATTTGGTTAACAATTTATTTTGTACCTAAAAATACTATTCACAGCAGTCCATACTGTCCTTCATCGATCAGCATCTTGTTGCCATGCCTAGCGCATCTATGTACAACTAAACAGCTAGTTCTGTGTTTGACGAAATCAAACCTGCCGTTGCACAGAGTGTGAAGGCGAAGCGTGCATATTTTAGTTGGAAAGGCTAACGCACGAATCTTAACATGTAATATTTACAGTGGTACGAATAAAAATGAAGTGTGTGCTTGTGCTCCGAAAATACTTTTTGCTGCTTCATAATGGACGTTTGGCAGCTTCAAAAAGTGCTACAAAATTACTCGGGTCCACCGCATCACTGCCTGTACAAAACGATGACGAATGCCATAATATGGCACTTTTGGCGCTATTTGATTGGCCTCTTGTGCCTTTTGCCAAAACGATGCTTTTTGTGGCGGCCCCCCAGACAATTGTATTACTCAACAGTTGTCTTAATGATAATAAACTTTGACTGCTCCAAAGCAATATTTTGCCCACTACAAAAGGCTTTTAGGACAGACCCTTTTCGAAAGTGCACCCCACCTAGCGTCTGGTGTGCCATTTACAAGAGTCTACCCATGGCCTCTGAGATTCTTCTTGCAGTGGCTGTGCTCCTCCTCAGGCTATTGTATTTGTGCGGTAGAGACTTGCTGCTGGGTGCTTGGTGGCGCTTGCAACCAAACCGTACGATAGAAAGAAATAGCCGCTAACTATCACCATTATCGTCAATCTACGGAACTAAGGAGTAGTGCAAAAGGTGTAGAACAAATGTTCATGCACATAAGGAAAGTTCAAAAAGCTGTTTTCATGCATGATGAGAAAGAAATATTTCTATGCCTGTCCCGCTGGCCTGCACGGTATATAGATTCGCCCTAAATCTTGCATTCTGAGGTATCATCCAGCAAAACAATGCAAAGAATGAAGCTGCAAATAAAAATTTTAAGAAAACAGTTGGTCGTTGGTTGTTTATACAGCAGGAGTTTAGTCTGCGAGGACATGGGCAACATCGTTACCCACTGTAGGTGAGCAATTTAGCCAGTGTTGTACGACTGCTAGCTTAATGTCTTTAATGTGCACCACGCAGTAGTGATACACGACCGCACGCCAGTGCGATGCTCGTTCAGATAGAAAAGGGCAGGGGCGGGGATTGAAGCCAGGATCCCTGGGTCCTGCAGCTCCACGTGCTTCGAGCTGGTGTGCTTGCACCACTTAGCTTAAAAACAGCCAACAGAAAAAAACTGATTCTCCCCTTCCCCTTGGGGACCGGGCAAAAAAACTAAAAGCATCATTCCCACCTCCTCCCCCCTTACAAGGGAGTTGCCAGTTTTCCTCTGGTCTAACCTCATGGGCGGCGCCCAACACCAGACCCACTGGGGGACAAGGTTTAGACTCTGGGCCGAAGCCACGCGGGAGGGAGCTGCAACTTTCGCCTGTCCCGCCCATCCCCCAGCTATGCCAGTTAGTTTTACTTTGTTCAATTTCCCTAGATAATTTTCGCCAGCACTCCAACGTCCTCTTTGTTGCCTCCACTCTATCGGTCACCCAGAAACGGTGACTGCCAATGTTGCTTGTCAGGGTTTTGAAATGGGTGCATTGGGCAAAATGTCCCGGGTGATTGACTGATTTTCGGGATTGCTGCAGAGGACAACAGCGGGGAGACGAAGGACCACCTGATTGACGAGCTGGACTATGTGCTGCTGCCCCAGGAGGCCTGGGACAAGATGGTCTCCTGGTACGGGCTCACCCCCGGCCAGGACCCCCTGCCCCGGAGGGTCATCGAGTTCGGCATGTTTGTCAAGCACTGCAAGGCAGGCACTTTTTCTTTGGCCTCGTTTTACGGGGGGGGGGGGCCAGTGGCGGTCAGATGGCCAGTTCAAACCGAGTAATGTGCGTACGTACGCTGGAACACATAATAGGTCCACAAAGTTTTATGTCTAGAGGTGTAATACCACATTGAGACGTTTAGTGCACCTCAATATGTTGGATTACCAACTAGGTCAAATGTCAACCATGCAAATGCCGTATTTTTCGGTGAAAGTTGAACCGTTTCTTTTCTTAATTGTTCGTTTCTGTTCGCAATTTTTTCTTCGATAAACGCCGTTTTAGCGTCTGCACGAGACAATTCACCGAAATGCACTGGTATTCTGGAAACAAATAAACACCGGAAAGTATACGGGCTATTTATATACCAACTTCCTTGTGACCCGTGTGTAGGGTGGTACAACTTGTAGACTGGAGAGTATGGTATATATTTTCCCAGCACTTATCACCTTGGCGAAAAATGCTAGTCAATGAGCTGTGGATAAACGCACGGCGTCTAGCACATGCTCAGAACTGGATTTAGAGCCCAGTAGACAGGGATGAAATCACATAGGAGGCGATGATCAGAAACGTGAATTTTAAGTGAAATTCTACGTTTTGGTTTGGACGGCCATCTTGGAAGCATAAACCTATTTCGGAATAAGAGTGAAGGAGTGAAAGGGTCAGCACGTCGCTGACTGTTGCTGACTGCGCTGAGCAGCGCACACTAAGAGCACTTACCCTCCGCAAGGAGGGTAGGAGTGGGAAAGTTCCCTCTATGGCTTTGCTGCACCCGTAATATGGGAGCCCACGTCGCAATACGGAATCCGAAGAGTTCAAAGCATTGAACTCTTGAGTCTGGTTACCGGAGCTTTTAAAACGTCACGGTGACGTTGGAAGCCGCTGGGAGAGGCTTTGCGTGTTCTAGCACTCATACTAGCCATATTACATACTTGTTGGTTTGGACCGGCCTCAACGGGCGAGGTAATTTGTTGTGGTAATCGTATGACGAAAGTTTGGGGTGTGACTGCAGTATCTGGGGCGTTGCGCAAGAAGGCTTCGGAAGCTCCTAATCACGGTGACTCTCCTTGTTTCTTTCTTTTTGTCTCAAAACAAAACAGGTGGAAGTGTATTTAATGGACCTGAAGCTCTGCCTAAGTACCAACCTGGAGCAGTGCATCACGAAAAAGTTCAGCAAAGTGGACACAATCGGTAAGCCAGCTCTCCCGTACAAATTTGCCCGCTGCTCTTAGGTGGCAAGGTAGAGGAGCTTGTCGTGCTCCACCATTTATGTTCGTAGTGGCTGCAGCAGTAAAGCTAATTGGCACATTTGCCTTTGACTGATTGTCTGCTTTGCGACTGCTTCTAACTACTTGCGACGAGGGAACAGATTGGTGCCATCTGATCCGGAAACTCTGAAACACTTCCTCTACATATATTTCCTGATTTTTTTTTATTGCAGAATTTGTTTTATCGGCCGATTTTCATGGAGTTCTGTAACGTTTTGTTGTAACGGCTGGCTGTAACGTCGGTCCGTAACAGCCGGCTGTGAAATAAAACCGAGAACGAAAAGCGTTATGTCCACAGAGAACCGCATAAAAAGGGTTCATTCTCCCGGCAGGATTTGAACTCGCCAAGTCGAGATCATGAGCCACGCGCTCTGCCGACTGAGCTATTCAGGGCCGGTGGTTGGATTGCTCAAAAGCGAGGCCTTTGGCGCGGCGCAAGGGATCGGTCGCACGTTACGGCCTTGTCTTCTTCCTTGGAAGGCCTGTCACGCATTCTGTGCTTACTAGTCTTTGTCAGCATGATCAAGCGTGTAGAACTCTTTTATGCATAATTCTTTTATTGTCGGGTTGAAATAATTTTTGCCAATGTTTTAAGCCACCGTTTCTCATTGGTAGCACATTGATTTAATCTTGCAAATACTGCTGCGAAACCTTCAGTCTAGTTATATGCGGACCCAAAAGTTTCCTAGGCTTCAGTTGATCACATGCTAATTTGTTGAACCAGCCTGTACATTTTGAGTTTAAATAGAAGCGAGTATAGGTGTTATCAGTCCCAAACCTCGCTCTAAAATTGGCCGGAAAAATCGGCGCCTGATCGTAGCAATCTCAAATTTTTACCAATAGCATATCTTAGCGGTACATTTTACCTCGTATTATTTTAAGATGTCTCTTCCTTTGTGCGAAAAATAAGACAGACACCCTTGCCACGGTCAACAGCAGACGACGGTGCAAATGGCCGAGATAGCGAGGGTTCTGCTTGTCATCTTGTGCTTCGTGTTGATAGGTGCTACGAGCGTAACCCTTGCCAACTCGGTCGTCTTTGTCATCGTCTGCCGTTGAGCGCAGTGAGGGTGCTGCCCCAATTTTTTGCGTAAAAGGTACACCTCGACATTTTGCGAGGTAAAATGCATGACCGAAATATGCCTTTGAGGAAAATATAAGATCGCTATGTTCAGGTGCTGACTTTTCCCAGGCAATTGACCTTTCCGGAAAATACCGGGTCATCTCGCAGCAGGGGGAATTAAGGGGCCGTTCCGATTAGGTTTGTTACGGCTCGAACGCTTCGCATATCCTGGAAGCGGCACGATTCATTTTCTCCTCTCATTAGGAGCTCAGAACGCACAAAAATTAAAGCGTACAGAAAAGGAGATGTCGCACCCTGTCTCACTCTCCTTTGGCCTTCTCTGCATTCTGATATCATAAAATGATAATCCAGCGTCAACTCCGTCTTTGATTCCTGGTTGATCTCGCGTGCCGCACATCCAAACGTTACGATGCATTGAGCAGATGGCGAGGGCGCCACATATTTCCGGAAAGGCGGTATTTTAGGGCGAGCTCCGGGATCGATAACACACTGGAAACCATGTATTGTCGTTGGCGTTGCCAGTGGGTATTGGGTGGGTTGGGTGGTTCAGGGGCTGCAATGAGACGCGAATTTACCCCGAGGACCGTAACTAAATTGTGGTTTGAGAGGGCATGGTTGAGGGAGCAGACGTCGGCCTGTAAAATCTCGCTCTTTCCTGGACAGACCGGATCGAGAAGGAGATGCGGAACCTGTTCTCGATCCCGAAGGAGAAGGAGACGCGCCTCTGGAACCGGTACAGCAGCAACACCTACGAGCACCTGTTTGACCGGACGCGCACCGTGCAGGAGGCGGGGCTCTACCATGGGCAGGTGGGTGGGCACAAATACCTTTTTATTGTAAAAACACTGAGACTGCTGGCCCTTTGGTCGTAGCTAGGGCTTACTTGGCATTCGGGGAATTCATAGTCGCCAGCACTAGACCGAGCCATCTGAACTGTAAGATGTGTCATTTGGGGCAGGGATGAAGGGTGGCAAAAAGACTCCCTTTTCGAACTTGGTAAGTTCATGGCGAGTGCAAAATTGATGCCATCGATAAAGGTGGACAGGAGAACATCTTGTGTCTGAAGACCATTAATTCTCACGAAACCTAAGGGCACGAAGAAGTGACCGCCTAGATGGAATGCCTAAGGTTTGACAAAGCTTTCAATTTATAAGGATCGTGGGGTGCCTTTTATGACCAAATTTTGTGGCAATGGCAATTATTTTGTGGTGGGGTTCACAATACTGTGTATTGGCTTAATATTTGCTGAATTTTTCTTTCCACATTTTACGCTTAAAGTTTGTCAAATACTGAATCTGATTTGGCCCATCGCGGGTTTAGGCAAACCTATGGGGCATTGCTTGAAGACTGTGCTGTTTTATCTCTGTCCAGGTCATCATGATTGAGGAGCAGAATGACGATGGCAGTTGGTCGAGGAAAAGGTATGCTTTAGTCCTCTCAAGTTCCATTCTTCAGGTCAGTTTTGCAATAAGGCTGTAACAGGAATTTATAGTAATGTTCATAATTCACTTTGGCATATGATGAGATCACTTCTGGGCACAATGCCATTTTTCTTTGCTGTCCTGGAAAAATGAGGGGTGTATGTTAGTTGATTTTGTTCTAGTATGTGCTTTCATTCAGCATGGAATGATGTCCTATGCAGTGTGAAGGCCCGAATGACGGAGTGATATTGCCAGTCGTGTTTTAATCTGAACGTTTCCATGCCACTGCCATTTTCTTTAGAACCGTCGCATTTCCTGAGGTATGTAAAATGGTAGTGCCTTTTGAACTCCAGCATTAGCTCGGTGCTTTTGGTTGTTCTTTAACTTTACAAGCAGGTTTGATACAAACAGTGTCAGAGCACCAAGGATGCAAGTTTGATGCGATGGAGCCACGTGACTGGAGACTCCTTCCTTTAAAAATACCACTGTAAAGCCATTGAACACATCTAGCTGTTGTCAGAACAATGCACATTCTTCCTTGAGACCAGCAGGGACTAAACGGAAACTTTTCTCAAAGATCTTCGAGAAGTGTTCACCAGCACTTTTTGCCTCTTGTCATTCACTGGGTTGGGGCTGACACTGCATTTGTTCTATGCTTTTCTTTCAGTGCAAAAGGATCGGCGGGCTACTGTAATTCGTCGGGAGGAAGGGGGGGAGATGCCAAGTCTTACAACGCACCTGCCAACACCATGTAAGTTCCTAATCTAGTATACCATGCATTCATAAACACCCACAGCGATGGGAGTGCCGCGCCATTTGTGCCAAATGCCATTTTTGCTAAGAATTGCACCACACCTACGCCAAAGTGAGCTTAAAGCAACAACAAAATAAAAAAAAGAAAATTTGCTTATTGGTTGATAGACATATTCAGAAAAATAGAAAAAAATGCTACAAATATGTATTCCTTGGCGTCTCTCCTCACCGCAAGTTTTGTTTCATCTTAAGAGCAAATTTGGAGGCTCGAACACACCAGAACCCCAATGCACATGCACTAAAAGCTCAAGTGACGGGGCATTTGCTGGATTTGATTGGTTTAGCCAATGAATGAACACGCCCAGAAAGACTACGAATTCCATGGTGTTGCACTTTTGACGCTGTTTGATTGGTTCCGTTGGCTGGTATCGTCAGCTGTGCACTAACAAAGTAGGAGATTGCTCGTCAACCGCGCTGGCCCCGTCCTCGTCTGAATTTTCAGACGATTTTGGCAATGTGGGGACCTAAAAGTTATGAGAAAAATGTGCAAAATAATTGGAAGGCGGGTTACTGTAATGGGATGAAACCATGGCCTTTTGCTCCCGATGAGATTGCTCAATTGTTGTGTCTGCCACATGCCTCCACGCTGTGGCTGTAAGGTGCCGATCGTGGCACTTGTGCCGCCCGCATCAACCTTCACTGCCTCGTGCCAGGGGGCACGCATTGAACTTCACCACTCTGCACCAGAGTGCTAGGAGCAGCAACTAACATGGGGGAGCACCTGGGTTGGTGCGATTGCCTCAAAAAGTATGCTCGGTACTATTATAGGTAGACCTTCATTGGTCCTTACCGCGAACTGACCTCTAATTTAAAAAAAAAAACGAAACTGCCAAAAAGGGGGAAGAATAAGATGCGGGTCTATATTTGAATTAATAGGGTAGTCAAGCTAGTTCCTGTGCAGCTGTCAATCGAAAGGACAGCAAACTTCGACTCAACTCTGGTTCCGATGACACCAAAACGCAGTGCTACTTTTAAGGCGAAAGTCTTATAAGTAGCGCTAGTAAAAGTAGCACTAGTAGAAGTCATTTCACAAAGCCCATTGAGAAAAAAAGCGGCCATATATGGCCATAAAAAATACAATTGAGCGGCACGTGCTGCTCAATCGTGTGCTTAAGGACTACGCTGTCCTTGGCGTCGTCCTTGAGATCTTCCTAGGGGTCGTCCTAGACCTTACTTGTCCCATTATGTGAAAAAGCGGCGTCGTTGTGCCTGAAAGATGGTCATAAAAATATGTCAACAAGCATGCCCCTCACGCTCAAGTGCATGGGTGTAATGCCACCACCGCCGGAGCACCATGTACAAAAGGTGCGTTCCAGACTTCATCTGTGCTCATTGTGTGCTTCGTGTGATGGACTGTCAGGCGACTGCATCTGCATCTACGGCCTCGACATCGGCAGCAGCGTCTACATCTACAACGGCCTCTGCAGGCAAACGTGGCCGCCCACGCAAATACGCCACAGCCTCCTTAAGTGTCCTCCTCTAGGCGTCGTTCTTGACGTTGTCCTCTAGGCGTTGTTCTCCACGTCGTCCTTAAGGTCGTCCTAGAAGTCGTCCTCTAGGACATTATCCTCGACGTCATCCTAGATACCGTCTTTGACGTCGTCCTCAACATCGTCCTTGAGTTTGTTTGAGAGATCATCCTCGGCATCGCCCTAGAGGTTGTCCTAGACGCCATACTTGGCATAGATCTCTAGGGCGTCGTCCTCGACATTCTATACGTCGTCTTAAACTTTAATATGTGTAGAAACATTACTCGAAAACATTTCTACCACAGGACAACCATTATGCTTTCGCCTTCCTACACGTAAGCAGTCGTGTCCTCCTGTAATTTTTTAAGTTCACCGTAGGCAGGGATGGGCAGTATTTCAAATACAAGTATTTGAAATACGTATTTCAAATACTTTGTGTATTTTGCATTTGTATTTAATTACAAATTGAGTAATGTATTTGATGTGCGTATTTAAATACTAAAACATGGGTATTTCAAATACAATTGTAATTAAATACAATTTTGTGCGCAAAAATACATCCCTCAAATTTATTATCACTCTCCAGAGCAGGAACAAAACTACGTTCTGCACCGAATGCAGTGCCTTTCAATCAAGCACAAGCGTTTAGTGACTTTGTGATTACGGTGCTAGTCCAGGGCAAGAATTGCAACAAAATCGACGTTCACTGGCAGACTGGCTAAATAAGTGCAGGTGACAACTTGTGATGCTTTCCAGCCTGATTTCTATCTATATTTTTGCCTGGAACATTTAAATGCGCGGTTCGTCCAGATTTCCGTAACTGGTGCGAGTTGCAACAATAAAACATTCTCTAGCTGCTGCTGCGCGTCTTGGTCATCTCGGTACTTTGTTGGCCTACACCAAAATGTAATCGACAAAAAAAAAAAAAAAAAGCTGCTTGAAGCTCTGTACTTTTTTCACCTATTACGTCCAAGCTGATTACATTTTTTTTTGTGATTATATTTCTATTACGTTACTAGAGCTTCGCACACTAACTCCCGAGTGTGCGATGCAAAATTAAAATGAGATACCCAGAAACGCGTTGGAGGTGCCCTGAAGTCGCTGACGCAAATTTTGAGGAATGTATTTGGAAAAGTATTTGGAGGAGATCAAATACAGTTGGTTGTATTTGTATCTTGTACTTAAATACTTTTTTGCAAATGTAATTATATTTGTAATTAATTACATTTCTGACGAAGTATTTTGTATTTGTATTTCGATATATATTTGCATGTATTTTGCCCATCCCTGACCGTAGGTCTTCATTGTAGCATTGGCAGGTGGTAGTTTTTCCAGTTTATAATATAGGAATCTTGGGTTTGGTAGGTTCAGAGAACTTGTGAGAACATTTTTTTTTCTTTTTTAATAGAAGTCCTATTGGATATGCTGGTTTTTGCTGGCATTTTACGGGAATTGTATTTACAGATTAAATAAGCTATCGAGTGTAGAAAGGGGGGGTGGGGCTTTACCTCAACTGAAGTTTCGTGCTATGCTTCATTTTACATTTTTTTTTATATACCAGTTGTAAACGGAATTTACTAGTGATGGGACGAATCTTTATCCGAATCGAGATTCGGAGCCGAATCTGGAGATTCGGAAAGATTCGGAAGAGTAGCCGAATCTCAAGCGATTCGGAAAAGTTTGGAAAGATTCGGAGCGTTGCCATGGTTGCCAGATCACGTTGATGAGTCTTTCAACTTTTCGTGATATCAAATTCACTAAATTCTATGAAGTGCACAAAATATATTGTAATATAATATCATAGTAATAAATAAAACGTTCCGCTTTGTTTATATTATGTTGGATGTTTGTCGAGAATCCAGCCAAAAATCGTGGGAAAATTTAATTGGTTTCGGTTTCGGATTATGACCCATGCTTGGTGCACGTGGAAATACAAGTGCATGTTTTCATCGCCGCAAGAGATGATGCCGTACGTGCTGTACAATATTGACACATTTCATGTTCATAATTACCGTTATAGTGGCACACAACTAAGTATGTTCGATTCGATTATCTTCAACGTGTGTCCACTGAGGTATTATCGGAACAAGGGAAACAACCCGATTCCTGAAACTCCTTGCGCCGTACCCTGCACTGCATTTGTACCTTTCTGGTTAATGATATGTGATTTAGTAGCATTTGTTTCGACGTTAGACACCTCTGTGTTGTTTGTTTTTTGTCAAATAAAGTTCACGTCCACAAAACTTACTGCCGAGAACGGAGAAATGACAGTGCGAATTAGCGACGTTTTTCTTCCCCACCGGTGCCGGTACGCGGTCGAAGTTGCTACGAACATTCATCTCGCTCTCGCGCCTTACAGGTACTGCATACGCAGCTCTAGAGAAGGAGACGAACCATTTCCTTGCCTGAATATATTTATTGTGCGTTGCACCACATTATGTATAATACGCAGCATTTCGCCATATTTTACCGATCACCGCGAAACCGCACAGAAACCGAGACCGTGCATTGGTTAGGCCTACGTCAACCACACCGATCAGCTCAGCTGGATCTGGGCGTGTGCCGGGGTTTAGAATGACAGTACAGTACATACCATACGACGTACGTTGTAATAAACAAGACGAAATCTGGTTATATGCAGTAACAGTACCTAAAAACAAACAAAACTGACCGCGTTCGCGAGCTTTACGACAAGGTTCACGCTGCCGTTGCTGCCGTCTTCAACCAGCGACGAATCGGACGAATCTCCGAATCTGCCGAATATTCGTCGCGGGAAGTTCGGAAATTTCCGAATCTGGGCGAATCCGAATCTCCGGTGATTCGTCCCATCACTAGAATTTACTCTGATGCTAGCCTTATTTTCTAAAGAGGAAGCTGTGTGTTATATTTAGCGATGCAATCACTTTTTCATTTTCAAGTGATGAGCAAGCAGATGGCATCTGCTCCAAAAGCGTGGCTGTCTGCTCCAAAGCAGTATTTTGCCTCCTACATAACCGGGTACAAAAAGTCAAATGCTGCTTTCATCACTGCACCCTTGAAGCATCCAAGTTGTAGCAAGTTGTTTTCTTGTGTGGGTAAACCGGTCTACTTGGGTTGTGTTTCATCTGGCGACCTCACAATTTTTGTTGGCAGGCTGGCCCCTTACTGTGGGTTTACAGAGCAACCTCATTGTTAGTGTTGTCTGCTTTAATCCACAGTGAGAGTTCTGACTATGTGCAATGAATTTCTGCAGTGCCACGCGGAGTTACAGTGCAGTGGGCAACAACTACGGCAATTACAGCAACAGCTGCAACTACGAGCTTCACGGAGGTGGCAGCACACCCGGTCTCTGTGGGCTGGCCAACCTGGGGAACACCTGCTTCATGAATGCCGCAGTGCAGGTGAGGAAGCGTCCCGAGCCATACCCGACCTTGGGCTTGTCCTTCGACTAACTCGTCTTCGCTAAGGCCGTTTGTGTCCTGGTAGTTATTATCTTCGATCTGCAGTAGTAAACTTTTGTTCTTGCCAGCAAGGATGGTGTTGGAAGGGAAGAGACTGAGTAAAAGCATGATGTCAGCGATGACAGTTCAGGCAACCCAGACCTCTTTTAGAGCGCAGCTCTTAGGGGCCCGTTCCCGGCTTGAGCGGCGTCGGCGTAACCAAGGTCACCCCAAGGTCACGTGACCCCCAAGGTCACGTGACCTCCCCCGAGGTCACGTGACCTCCCCCAGGTCACATGACCCCTCCTCAAGGTCACGTGACCACCCCCTTCCCGAAGTCACGTGACACCCCCCGAGGTCACGTGACCTCCCCGATGACGTCATCGTTACTGATGACGTCACCGGCATCCACATCGTCATCATCATCATCACTGATGACGTCACCAGTGACGTCACTGATGACGTCACCGGCATCCTCATTGTCAACGTCATCATCACTGATGACGTCCCCGGCATCTGCATCGTCATCGCCATCAAAACTGATGACGTCATCAGTGACGTCACTGATGACGTCACCGGCATCCGCGTCGTTATCGTCATTATCACGGATGACGTCATCAGTGACGTCAGTGATGACGTCATCGGAAGCCGCATCGTCATCGTCACTGATGACGTCGTCAGTGACGTCACTGATGGCATCATCGGCATCGTCACGTGACCCCCCCCCCTCGTACCCTTCCCTCCTCCTCCTCAAGAGCTGCGCTCTAATTTGGTGTTACAGGGAGTTGTAAACGGCTTCCACTTTTTTTGTTTACATGGTAGTCTCTCTTGAAACTTGAAATTTTTTGTATTGAAAATTAAGGCCGAACCACATAGGGCACATTTTCGACGTATTTATTGGCGTTTTGATGGACGTAATCCCGACGTGTAGCGGATATTGAGTCGTACGCTTCCTTGATGCCTCAAGGTCGGCGTAATAACGCGCATATTCTGCGTTCCCAACCGTGACAAATCTCGACGCTTTGGCGTATTTCGGCATGGCGTATCCGGAAGCGTACGGCGCGGTGCTGGCTGATCAACTTGCGAGTTGACGGTTGGAAGTTGCTTGAGGATGTTATTGTGATATTTTAGCCAGTGTGCTACGATTGCTAACCCCTTGGGCCTTAGGGAATATGGGGATGCACACTTGTTCGTCAAAACTGACACGAGTGGAAATAAAACTCGCAATTTTTCGGTGTTTAGCACGAGATTTTGCTTTGCCCAGTACCGAACTCTAGCGTGTTATTAACGCGCCGAACACTGAATCCCCATCGTCTCGCACAAAGAATGGAAACCTGATGCCCATGATCTTGAAGCCTTCACCACTTTAGACGTGTTAGACTTTTTCGAGTTCAGTGTTTGCATTCTCAAGTTCCTAAGACCAGAACGTCACGAACAAGTGACACGCTGGGAGCGTTACGAACGTCGAGGTTGATATACACGGTGAGTCAAAGGGATGGCATAAATCGGTTTCTGAACTTATCGAGCTTTTTACAGAGGTTACCGAAGGAGGTGCATTAAGGGCATAAAAAGTTTACCGAACAAACTTACCCGAGTAAAAAGTTGGAAATTAAAAGCTTTAATCCCTACCTAAGGCAGCCATGTGCTAACCACAGGTGCCCGGTTGGCGCAGCAGCCAGTAGATGTCGGCAGTGCTCCCCGCGTTGACATCTGGTGGTCTGCATTGAAGGCATCGCGAGTACAGCATTTTTCAGCATCAGCTTGGGTGATGACACCGCTGTTGTCAATGGCATATTTTAATGGTTTCCCTCCCCGTGGAGTTGCACCTCACCCAGTGTAGAATTGTAGGGGAGCCCGGAGGTGACCACCGAAACTCCGCCTGATAACATCAGTATACCTTGGTCGTTTTCGGGCACCTCCCGTAAACCTAGAGCAGCCTTCACTCTCTTTTTGGCAGAAAGCACACCATGAAGATCACATTCACACACTTGCAACCGATTACGACTGAGAGAGACAAGACCGGCCTTTAAGCCTCTTGCGACAGCGTACAACCTGCTCCAGAGCAACGCATCCGGTCCTCCGCCGTCGCAAGAATCTTAAAAACTGGTCTTGTCTCTCTTGGTTATACTCGGTTGCAAGTGTGTGAACGGCGCTTTACACCCTGAAACAGCAGGCATGAAAGTTGCAGACAAGAAAAGAAACCAGGGGACACAAAGCAGATGGCAACATGTAGTCGAAAACACTTGTAAAAAAAATTGAAAGACGTTTGCAACTCCCTGTAATGCCGAATTAGAGCGCAGCTCTTGAGGTGGAGGAGGAGGGGAGGGTACGGAGGGGACGGTATGTCCCTCCTCCTCATCTACTCCTCCTGTGCTCCTTGCCTCTTCCCCCTCCTCCTCATCCTCCTCCCCCTCCTCCCTCCCGCGTGGTGCATTATGGAAATGTCTCGTAATGCAACGTGCACGTCACCGCTGTGCATTATGGGACGTTTCCCACCGAAACTGGACTGGGGAGGAAAAAAAAGTTTAGAGGAGGAGAGAAGTGGCGGAAGTCACGTGGCTGCGATACATTTTTTCCCCCAAACAACGCATTTGGAGCTTTTTAGAAGCCCCAAAAATGGGAATCATATTTCTTTTCTATTTTTAATATTGTGTGCATGCCTTCGATGACCTACGACTTTGACTATATTTGGTAATTGTGTCTAAACCTTAGAAAACGGCCAGTGACCACGGAAAAGAGAGTGAGCGCGACTCCAACCGGCCAGTTCTCGATCGGTGGTTTTCGGGCGGAAAGAGACCGAATTTCGAGTCGCAAATTCTGTTCTGGGTAGTTGGGCTCTCATACGTCATGTACAACTAAAAACCTCAGAGAGCATAAATACCCTGTCAGTGTCTCTTTAATGTATGTTTTTCGGCCACCACTCTAAAACATCTTAGTTTAATACGTTCACAAACTGATTTGTCCGGTCCCTTCAAACAGCAATCAATCCCTTCGACTCGCCCCATATATGTAAAGTTAAAACCCCGGCAGTGCTCGAACCTTGGTTGGTGGGGTGACAGTCGTATATTATAGCCACTGAGCTACTGGCACAGCTTGTCTGGAAGGGAAACCAATTTTATTTGCATGCAAACAAGCCAGCGAGAGCGGCAAGTTTTGTTGAGAATATTAAAATAATAAATAATAAAAAAAACAACACAGTTATTAAAAATAAATAATATAAATAGAAAATAATAAATAAATACAATAAAAATGAAATAAATAGTAATAGTATAGAAAGAATGAGAAATCTAGCACAATGTGGAATGTGGCTTGTACGGGACACCTTCTCTGCTTCCTGGTGTTTGTCAGCATGATTGAGCCTGTACAATATTTTTTCTAGTCTGCTGTTTGTGTTGTTAACATGTTTGATGACCAAATGCAGAACTCTTTCTGCTTGTGTGCCCTCCTTGACGCTTCTCCTGCATTGTGCAGTGCATGAGCAACACCCCTCCGCTGACGGAGTACTTCATGGAGGGCCGCCACCTCCAGGAGCTGAACCACAGCAACCCACTGGGCATGAAGGGGGAGGTAGCAAAGTCTTATGCCGACCTCATCCGGGTCATGTGGTCCGGAAACTGCTCCAGCACCATTCCCAGGCCTTTCAAGGCAAGTGGCTTCAGGGGGTGCAGCAAATATCCGCCTTTCTGGGCATAAGAACTGGAGTGTGGTTCGGCTGAAGTTTGTGCCCGCGTTGCATTCTCGGCAGGGCAGGTTAATGTTGTCGCAGCATTGTCTGGATTTTGACACGCCTTTCAAGAGATCTACTGCCTGTCATAGATAGGATGAAGTAGTAATGCGGACAGGGTCAAAATTGCGATGACTTGTTGCTTTATTTACATCTATTCATTTTTAATTTGAGGGTTTCTGCTCGGTGCCTCGCTGTGCAGTGGTAAGTTTGCTATGATTTGATATCTTGTTTTTTTTTTGCTGCAGAACATGGATGTTATTGGTGGGCATATGGTACAGTGCAATCCACTTGAAAAAATACTGAGAAACTCGAAAATTCAATTGTTATAGCCGATTATCGTTGTATGTGTACTAAAAACTGATCGTTTCTAGTTTAGAGGCTCTGGAAATTGAATGTTATAAGCATTACATTGTTATATGTGCTATCGTTATAAGTGGATTGCACTGTACTGTAAGATAGAGAATATTCTTCGGGAAATTGCTTGTTGGATTTTCTGCTTTTGAAATTTGTGTTTCCCTTGAAGCTTTAAAGGGGGCATAAAAAAAAATGTATGCTGCATCTTAATTTTTTATAATCATTAAACCACAAAGATGTTGATTCTTAAGTATTACGGCAAAATGATGCATTTGCATTTTATAAACCGTGTTTTAAAATTGTGTTTTTTTAACTGTTTGAAATGACCATGCGACACCCCTTGGCAGCAAGAGCAATAAGACGTCACGTTAGCTATGTAGAAAGGTTGAACAGATATTCAACATCATTTAATCTTCAAATAATTAATTGGGAGTGATAAAAACATTGAGATATTTACTGGCATTCTTGTACTAATTGTAGACCATTACATCATGTGATTGCGGCAAAGTTGAGGTTTAAAACGCATCCAGGTCTTCTGTCATTTGGTAACCACCGTAACCATGCTGCTGGTCCCACTGTGTTTCATATTCGTTGTGGAAGGCGGTTGTGGAGCCTGATTGTGAATTACAATTACAGTGTAAACTCGTTAGAACAGACATTTGTATATAATATACTACTTTCTAAAGTTTGGTTAGTTTTCCTATCTGTACCATTACGCGCGTGCGTTACCTCTAGACTGTCAGCGCATTCGTTTTGGGCCACTTATTTTTTGCGGGTGTAGCCATAGGACGTAGTATTTCCGTATTTCCCAGAACCAGTGGTCATAAGATTTCCATCAGTTTTCCTTTACCACGATCACCGGCCACTATCTTCCTCAGCAGTAGCTTGACATGCCGCTCCTCAAGTACGCAAAGGCGATTTGTTTCGCTTATGTTTTCAGCCTTTTCGTGCTTCTTCTGCGAGGGGGTCGGCACTTTTCTGGTCGAAGTGAGAACGCATTCACAGCTCTTTGTTTGACGATCATAACCAGATTCAGCTCGACCGATCAAAGTTTCAAACGATTCCCTCACAAATTCTTTTCTGTAGCATGACATACGGTAGCACAAAAAACGTGCGGGGTCGGCGTACGGCTTGAAACCTAAAAGCCAGCTATAGCAGCCAGAGCTCAGTGGGGTCTGCCATCTTACAATTATCCGAGCGTAATGCCAGACGTCAGATGTCATCCGTCGACTTGCGTGCACGACGTCGTTTTGGCGCTGCTGTTGGAGCGATATCTGATGCTCTGGTTTCGCCTATCAAGCCCTGTCTACGTCGCCATATTGCGCGGACAACAAAAATTTTCGATCGGTTACGTATGGTGATACATTCAAAGAACTGAAAGGGAATTCGCTCCCCGAGAAATCGAAATGATTTTTTTTTGCGCTAAGAAGTGAATTTAAACGATAAAAAAAAAAAAGAACGCAGGTTGTAAAATTAAGGACAGGTATTTCTAATAAACACATAGCTCAGAATATAAAAAAGAAAAAAAATGTTTAACAACTTGTTTAAAGGATACATGGGATAACACAGGCATGCGTGATGTCTGCACGATTATTCTCGTAGGTGCCTTTTAGAATGACACGCTTGTTACAAACAAGTAATCATGCGCCCACATAAATGTGTTTCGCGTGAAGTAAAACGTCTGCGCATGTGCCATGTCGACGGCAGCGCCACTGCAGCGGCGTGACGTCAGGACTGCGTGTTAGCGTATAGAGCTAGGACGATTGTGGAGACGTGGCAACAACTTTCAAATTTGTTCTTGCATAGATACTTCCTTGCATTTTTTATTCTTTCCTGACGTTTAACCCCTGGTTAGCTCAGTTGGTAGAGCGCTCCCCTGGAAATGAAAGGTCCCCGGTTCGATACCCGGACGAGGCAGATTTTATCGGTAGCGCACCAATCATCATTAGCTGTCTTTGGAGATTTGTGTTTGTCCTTTGTCCCCTTTGTTCCCGTTCTCCAGGGATTATTATTGCCATGCTTTAACAGTTTTAGGGGCAAAGCTCCTTAAGGTCTAGCCTTGTCCGTCCGGTGTCCGTGCTCACATCGATCTTGCTGGTGCTCGTGATTGTGCTCGTGAGCTCACGTGCTCACGTGCTCGTGTAGGGCGAAAAAAACATGATGAAAATAAAAAAAAAAAAATGTTTACGCAGTCGACAGGATTCGAACCTGTGCGGGGAGACCCCAATGGATTTCTAGTCCATCGCCTTAACCGCTCGGCCACGACTGCGGGACGAGTAGGGGGCTCTGAGATGTGGTAGTAACTCAAGAGCTGGGGATGTCATGGATGAAACGTTGCATGTAGCTGCTCAACGTCTATACAGGAGAGGGCGCTGCGGTCAAATGCGTATATAATCGCGTTAAACTTTGCATGCATTGGCTTAATGTTTATAGACGAGGGGGTGCTGCGGTCAAATGCGTATATAACCACGTTCCATACCACACATTCTCTTTCTGACATGGATGAAAACGAACGAAAGGCTCGGCATGCTGCGGCTCAGTGTCTACGCAGACAAGCACCACCAGAGCTTCGCCCCAATCAACATCATTCCCCACGTGGAAATGCGGTCATTTTTTTTTCTTTTTTTTAATTCTTAGCACATTCCTGTCCCTTCATCAGCACTTCATCATCAGTCTATATTTTTGACTTGGAGAAGCTGATACAAAGGGTAAAGAGATATGACCTCATATTCCAACCCTTCTTTTGCTCTGCATCAAGCAAGGAAGGGACCAACAGTGGTCTACACTTTCATCTTCACCTTACCAAACGTATTGTGGACTTTCGAGGTTGTGACACAAACATTCCGACGACATTGCGAGAATTTGAGGCGTGTCGGAACAGCGGAATTTCGGCGGGCACGTGCTCCTGGTCAATGCTTCGAGAATAGCCTCTGTTCACCGGGTCAACGATTGACAATCTCAACATCGGGGCGACATCACGAAGCTGGTCCCGTTCTAGTCCGGACGTACATGCTGGCTTTGAAACATTCTCGCAAAATTGGTGTGGTGTCAATTGTCACGAGACAACTGAGAGCTATTTTGGCTCACTCAACGGGGCCGTGCGACCGTAAGTGCTTCCCTTAGTAGATTCACCGGGTACCCAGGAGCTGAAACTGCCTAGCCGGCTTCCACCCGCTTCTCAGAGGCGCTCGCGTAGGTGTTTGACCAAGGCCTCCTTCTTGTGCAGATGGTGGTGGGCAGGTTTGCCCCCCAGTTCTCGGGCTTCCAGCAGCAGGACTGCCAGGAGCTGATGGCCTTTCTGCTGGACGGCCTGCACGAGGACCTGAACCGGGTGATCCACAAGCCGTACATCGAGCTGCGGGACCCCGACGGGAGGCCCGACGAGCTGGTGGCCCAGGAGGCCTGGCACAACTACCAGCTGCGCAACAACTCCATCATTGTGGACATCTTCCACGGGCTGCTCAAGTCGACCCTGGTGTGCCCGGACTGCCAGAAGCTGTCGGTGACCTTCGACCCCTTCTGCTACCTGTCCCTGCCCCTGCCCATCAGGAAGGAGAAGCTGCTCGAGCTGGTGCTGGTGCGCGCCGACCCCCAGGAGAAGCCCCTCAAGGTGAGCACCCCTCTCTCCCTCCCGCCTCGGGTTCCCATCTCGGCCGAGGTTCCCTTTACGGCCGAGGTTCTCATCTTGGCCGAGGTGCCCGCAATCCGACGGGGCTCGTTGCAGACGGTAACCGAGATATCGGTTGCACGTTGAAGCATCCCGTGTTCCGCCAGGGCGTGCCCTGGTTTGGCACTTAAAACCACAATTTCGGCCTTCCTCGTGTGCGCCGTAAATGGGGAGCAGCAGGGGTCCTTTTTTTCATCTGTTGTGGCTTCTACCTTGCAAACTGCATTGGAAGCAGGCTTTGGTTCCTTATTGGGCATTATTGGTGCCACTGTAGTCACTTAAACAATAAAAGCGGCAGGGCGTTTTTTTTTTGTCTGGCTGCATGTGCACGCTCGAGACACCCCGCAGCACTATCGAATGTGGTGAGTGTGTGCAGGATGTGGGGCGCTCTCCCTGCCGTTTTCATTTCGTCACTTACTGTTAGTGTGAGCACATATGCCTTCTAGTACAGTTGATTAACATAGAAGTTTGGGCTAGTTGGTAAGTAGACAGGATAAAAACAAAACAGTGCAAAGACAAGGACGAAGTAGAAAGAACCACAGGACGCAGTGCTGCTGGAAGGAACCACAGGACACAGCGCTGTGTCCTGTGGTTCCTTTTACTTCGTCCTTGTCTTTGCGCTGTTTTGTTTTTATCACTTCTAGCACAGCATGTTAAAAAAACAAAAACATTTACAGGGCTAGTTTCCCGAGTATCGTGTCCCCCGTAAAGAAATGTCGACACAAAATCCTGGACAGCTGCCGCCATCTATGAGCGACGGCGGTAACCAGACAACCGGCTTGCTGGCCTCGCTCATAGATGGCGGCAATCTTTCCAGCGCTAGAGCTGCAAACCAGATGCCAAAGTTCCTGAACTAGCCGTCATCTCATTGATAAGTTGCGTGATTTTCTAAAACATTTTGCTGGAAAAATGGGGCCCGATTTCGCCCGTTTTTGGTGGCTGGTGCCGTTCAGCTCCATGTATTCGAGAGCTCCGTCGCTCGCCATTTTTCCATTGAAGATTTCAGAAAATCATGTAACTTGATTTCGTAGGACGTGATGATGATCCCCGTCATTCTTTTGCGCAGATGAAAGTGACGGTGATAAAGATGAGCAGTATCCAGGACGTGTGCAGCTCTGTTTCTCGATTGGTGGGAATTCCTGCCGACAGGGTAAGTAGCATCCTTATTTTCTAGTGCTTTGTTTCTTTTGATTTATAGTATGTTTGTCCACATGTCTTTCCCTAGCAGAAATGATATACAGTAGTAGCCCAGAGATTTGTTGATTGAGTAGTTGTCAACAATAAATTGGGGAAGCGGGGACAATAATGCTATTCGGAGGCATGTTTCGAAGCATAAAGCTATTGAGCTGACATTGACTTAAGAGCAAACGTAGAATGTGCCTTTAGATCTCATGAAATGTTTCTTTTTAGATGTTTTATTCTGGTGCTTCCTCAAACTGTCAACTCTGAATTCTTTTCGATCTGCTTGTTTGGGAAGTGGGCGCGAGTAGCATCATCGAGTCGGAAGGGCAAAGGTGGTGCATAATACTAGTTTTTTTTATTACGTGGTAATCAAATATTACTTCCAAGACTTATGTTAGACGTATTTCTTCGTGTTCCGCAAAAAAAGAAAAAAAAAAAGAAGACAATTGAATTGGATTACAAAGTAGGGTTACCAGTGTTCAACCAAAATTCACATTTCAGAATGGCTGTGTTCCAATGTCACTTCCCGCTCTGCAATCTATTTTCGACCTCTTTTTACACGTTTAAAATCATGGTTCTCGAAAGTATATATATATATTTTTTTTTAAATTTTGAAGCTATAGTCGGTTGCAAGCTAAGAACAATCTTTTAGCTCCACCCACAAGCGCATTGCGCCCATCTGAAGTGCCTCCACCGTCGAGAAAGTAGTTCGCTAGCAACGTTGCTTTTTCTTCCTCCAGGAAACGTGTCTTAAACTACTACAATATTTATTTAATTCATTCAGGACATTTAAATAAGTTAGAATACGTTTTTGTCAACGAAATAGCTGTTTAGTAAAGAAAGAAAGTCATGTCCTTATGTACCGTCTTCCCAATTCATTTTCTGTCCAAGATACTGTCTAACATACCGTCTTCCAGCTCTCAGCAGTGCTAAGCCTTGCGCCCGCTTCGAAATTTTCGTTGGCGATAGCGTCGCTGGATTCTCACGTTGTCGCGCAAATACTGCTGCAAACGCAAGCCGATACCATTAAGATTTCGTGGCGTAACCTCGGGCACGTAAAACACGGTGCAAAAAAGCAGAATAATTGTCACGAGAAACTAGCGTCGCGTTGCTAAGGCCAGCAGCCATGTTGAGCTTTTTTCTTTTTTCAAAAGGATTGCGATTGGTCCACGGAATCGTGACGTCATGAAAACGATTGGCTGGCGTTTCTCGGCGTAGGATTACATTTTCCTCTGAGAGGCATTTCCGGTTTTTTCTTAGCTTGCAACCGACTATAGGAGGTTGTATTTTGCACAGTTAGTACATATTGAGCTCCTCTTGTCCTATATGTGGTCAATTTTTTGATAGCTGCCTTGATGAAATATTTGTGCCCCCTTTTTCTTTCAAATTTACTTATAAGAGAGCTTCCAAAAATAGCGTGGTTGCTTCCTCGTGAACAATAGGTATGCCAATCCACCCGAAAAAAAAAAAAGCTATGCCTCGAGAGAAAATAAAAATTGTTAACTATTGAGTAGGGGTGTGCGAATACTTGAATATACGGATTCGAATCGAATAGAAAGTTCCCGAATAATTCGATTCGCGAATCGAATTCCTAGTATTCGGACACTCGAATATTCAATATATTCGGCCAAAGATGCGCGGTCGGCGCGGAGCTGACAAAAAAGCCGTTCTTTCTCCCGATGTAAGCGCCGTGATATTAGACAGACCATGCGAGAAACACCTCTTGGTCCTACCATTCCACAAAAATCTAACGCGCAGGTTAGAAAAAAGAAAATTAACGAACGCCACAAACTTATAGCACGCAGATTTACTCACGATCGTGACACAATCTTCCCTTGAATCACAACCGAAACATCCCGTTACGCCGCGCCATGCCTAATTTTTTTTTCACGAGCGCCGATGTAGAACACATTTGCCGCATTCACGGCAATCGGCGACTGCACGATCACACAAAGAAAACTACATTAACCACGCCGATGAAACCAGCCGAGTTATCGTCGTTATCGTCGTCGTTCTTTTGGAGCCGCAAGCCGCAAATTCTGATTCGGAACAAAACGGAACGGAAAAATAGTGTGCCTAGATTTGAGAGGGTTTCCAACCGTTCAATAGCCGCGTTTGAATTACGAACTGTGAGAAGGTGACGAAAGCGTCGATCGGGATCGGGCAGCAGGGCAGGCGTCGTCGCTCTTTTGTTTGCTCGCCTTCTTTTCATGCGACAACACAACACATGCGCACAACCTACGCTGGAGCAGTCTTCGTAATTTCAGTTTCGCTTGCTCCCTCTTTTAAATCAAGGCTCTCTAAAACAGGATGGATAGACAGAAAAATGGATGCATAGCGGCAGTTGGACGGTGACTTGCGCCACCTAACCAAGTTTTGTTTCCTTGCTTTAGACTATATTGTTTAAGCCTGTTTACTCAGATTTAACACCTATCTGTTTATTTATGCGAAATAAAATCCCCGGTGTCCTTTTTCTTCCTTAAAATGGAGACCAAATATCGCAAAATGCCCCTTTTCTGACATACACAAAAAAGGTTGCGGTGTTAGGTTGTGCTTTTAACGAGAAAAAAAAAAGGCACGCGAGGCTGTAACTTTTTTTTTTGTGACGTTTAGGGTAGATAGATTATGTTTGCGCCATAAAATTGGATATTTAGTGGCCAATGTCCAACAGCAACTGCTAACTTTTTTTACATTTTTGCTTTTGTTCCGTACAAGACGCATATTCTACACCAGGCGCATACTCTGCACATATAATAGTCTCATTTGCAGCACACTTTGAAAAATTCCTACAAATAAAATCACTATTCGATATTCGATTCGATATTCGGCTTTTTTTCTTGATTCGATTCGGTATTCGATTCGAAAACTACCATTCGGTATTTGCACACCCCTACTATTGAGTCATCACTTTTTATGTTTCACTTTTAGTTTTATAATTGTAAAAATTCTGTGGTGCCAATCGCATAACTAGCAAGGTTTGCACGCTCTATACATCACCAAGAACACCTGTGTAAAATTTGGTTGCGATACAGTAACCGCAAACGGTGAAAATTGTGTGCGCAAACTTTGAAAACTGGCAAATATACCAATTTGAGATGAGAAAAACGCAAATCAAAGTATAGTTTTATGTGACATACCTAAATTCTCACTCAAACCACACGAAATTTGGTTGTAATATAGTTTCAAATGTCAGAGCCTCGACCAGCAAACTAGAATTCCGCCGCTGGGTAGCACAGCTCCAGAAAAGATGCCAGTCCCTCTCGCGCAGCGGCCGATTCCTGGATGGCGAGTTTGCACTTTTCGCAAATCGAGCATGCCGCACCACTGACAAGAGCTTTCATCACGCCGATCTTGCCAATTGCAGTACTTAGCTTGCATGCTTATCTGCAGCTCTCTCTCCGTTTTCAAACATCCTGATCTTCGTTTCCAATGCACTAACAAACTCGTCAACGCTGCCGATGAAACTCGGAAGCGTCGCCCCGACCGAGGTTAGGGTTAGCTGTCGCGGGTAAACTTTTCTTCTTTGAAGCTTTCCGCTTGCCCTTTTAGCTAATTCTTGAACTTGTGTGTCGTCCGAAACTTCCGAGTTCGAAAGTCGCGTTTTCAGTCGATGTTCATCACGAAGAAAGCGGAATGATTGAACAAGTTGTTGGTTCTGGTTTCAGGAGCAGTGTAACGCTAAAACAGCAAGCAAGCTTCGCCACACAGCACATTGCTCTTGGCCAATGGCGGGGCCACAATCGCATCACGTGATTTAAAAGTCCAGTGGCAACGTGCGTTTTCAGCAGGAAAAACATTTATTTCTTATTATTTGCAACCAGAATATGAAACTGTCGATGACAGTTCCGCAGTGAAAATGGCTAGGCCTGTGCGCCAAAATAAACGTGATGGCAGGCGACACTGCGATCCAAAGAATCACGCACGTGAAAATAGCTCAGATATGCACTGTTTTTCATCGCAAGAAGGGCTTCAAACTCGCATCTGATTAATTTCGCAATGATATCCGGTCTTGATCTTTTTTATACGCAAAAGAGGAAGGCTCAAAGATAATAGAACTCACTAAAAAACTGAAAATCACTTTTCTTTTAAGAAAATTGCTGTTTTTTGACTTCGGATACATCTCCCCTTGAAATTGAAGAGACAAATTTAGTGGCTGTGGGCTCTTTTCTCTCAATATACATTGTTAGGGTTCGGTCAAATGGCAAACGAGGGCCGTTGACTGATCTTAACGGCATGCTTTTGTCCCTCTCCTCCACTTGGCTGCTTCTCTTTGTCTGAATCCCTTGTCTTCTTGATTCCAGCTCCTGGTGACGGAGGTCCACAATCACCGGTTCCTGAGGGTGCTCCAGAACACAGATCCTATCGACACGTTGGATCGTATGGAAGTCTTTGTGTATGTCTGATTTTTTTCTTTACACCCAGTCTGCACCCCAAGTGAGGCTTATTTTGAAATGTGATTGAAAGGTTTGTTGGTCCAACCTAAGCTCGTGTACAGAGTGTGCTTTGACGAGCCGATGATCCGTTATGCTTTGACTGACCTCCAAGATAGCTCTGACCGGGACGAGAGTTGAATTCAGAAGTTTAATCCTCGGCCTCTAACATCTGTTACAAATACGGTAAAACCTTGCTTGTTCAACGAAGTCTGTTGTGCGTAAAGAGTTTTCATAGTAGGCAGGCATTTAAATTATCTAAAATATTTATTCTCTTTCCCGATAGAAATACTGTATTTTGCACGTATTACCCGCCCCTGCATAAAACCCACACCCCCAGCGAAGTACAGTATAGACCACTTACAACGTAACCGCTTATAGTGCAGGACCGGGTATAACGAGGCTTTTTTAAACCACCAGTTCGCCTCCCATAGAACTCCATGTAATTACATACCGCTTAAAATGCAGGCGCGCGAAGGGAAAAACCGGTTATAGTGCGGTTTCTGGAACAGCCTGCCGACCGACCAACGCAGTGAGCACGCTTCCCTGTGCGACACTAGAAAACGGCGGGAGCCGCAAGTAGCACTCGCGGGGCAAGGCGGTTGCTCGAAGAAGCGGGGAGAAGCGAAGAGAGAGGCTTCAGTTGCCATAGCGACGGAGGGACGCACGCACGTGTCGTTCACGTGCGTGCGTCCCTCAACCGCAACGACAGACCAATCGCAGGTTGAGGAGAAGTGTTCGCTCGCGTTACATGTCGGTCGCGGGCCGGCTTCTTCTATCCGCAAACATGGTGTCGGTGGTGATCGTCGACGTCAAGGAGGTCGACGTAGATGGCGTGGTGGAAGCTCATCGTTCCGCGTAAAAGCGCTATCCTTGACTGTGAATTTTCGTTGTGTGTCGCTATAGTAACCCAGCACGTACTAGAAGGGATGATCCACCTACTCGTGCGGCGATGTTGTGGCGGCACTCTCGAGACGGCAGAAACGCCCGTGTCGTCGTGTTTGTTTACTTCGACTACAGTGGTGCTTTCTAAGCCTTTGTGTTTTCGAACATCGCCCGGATTTCTTATTTGGAGCATTTCATGCCTGTGCTCAAGTTGAAGGTATTACTGGCGCGTACCGTATGAAGGATGCGAATTTTCACACGTTTTCATAACTGGAGAAAAGTGATTAGGGTTAGCAATCCTGAACGCTCGCAACGTCCGTCCGCAACCTGCGACGCCGTTAAAAGGCTGCGCCAGGCAAAAGTCGCTCATTTCTTTCAAAATGTGTGACACACTTGAGAGAGAAGTCTACTAGTCTGGTGAAATAAAGACTTTCCTCAAACTGAGCTTTATTTTTCATCTGACGTAAAATAAATTATTTTACAAAGGTAAGTTGTCTCATGGCATCTATTTTGGCCTGCAAAATTGATGTTTTAGTTATAACGCGGTACCGCTTATAGTGCGGATTTTCACGACTCCCGCGACATACGTTATATGCGGTCTACACTGTACTCTCAAAAAAAGCAAACAAATATCTCGCATATTACCCGCACAATGAACTATGCAACGCAATGTCCAGATCTCGATAGAGACAGTACCTTTATGTGAAACATTTACTCGTCGCTGCTGTCACTGCTCCCACGATCAGAGGCACCTTCATCCGAGGCACTTTCGTTGTCCCAGACAGCGTTATCGTCCGTGCCGTCCAGGCTATTGCCGACACAGCACTTCTTGAAGCTGTTTCGGACAATCTCGCCGGGAACGGCCTTCCAGGCGTCGACGATCCACTGGCATAGTAGCGGTTTGCCCGTTTTTCGGATTCGGCCCATTGGCATCGGTTCGTAGAGTCCTTGGGCAATCCACTCGGTGTACATTCTCTTCAAGTGTGCCTCGAAAGATTTGTTCAAACAAACATCCGAGGGTTGCAATACACACATTGTACCTCCCGGTATCACAACGAGGTCTCCGCGGTGCTTTACGAGGCAAGACTCTACCTTCTCGGTGCTGCGGCCCCGGAATTTGTCCAGCACCAACATCGACCTTCGGCCGGCATTGCACCCCATCTCTTCTCCCACACGGTTTTTGGCCAGTCGACGACGAGGCTCCCGTTCACGCACGAGTCGTCCTCCGCAGGGACAGCAATTCCGGGGGCACGTTGGCCGGCATGTTCTTGCGTCTAAAGACAACGTACGGCTGCAGTTCGGTGCTCCCGCCCGTCTGGACGCTCACCGACTTCGAACCCGTTTCCCGCAGCGTGGTGTCCAGTGGCATCTGAAAATACACCGGGGTTCAGTCCGCATTTCCAATTTGCAAGTCGCGCTCTCTGCAAAGGCCAACGACGTAACACTGGAAGCTCAATGGGTGTTCTTCGCACTTGCGGGGAGCCACTGCCACAAAATTGTTTTCCTCCTTGTCGTAGAAACCTCGTTCCATAAAACGACGAAACCATCCACAGCCCGCATGGAACTTGTGGCGCGATAGACCTTGCTCCCCGGCTGGCCACAAAGCTCTGATTTGAGTCATCTCCATCGACGCAGCGTGACCGCGGGCTTTTCTGTTCTCGATGAACTTGGCCGGCGCTTCTCCGGGTTTGGGATACGCCTCAGTCTTGGGGCCGCAGAATGACTGACGGTCACAACTGGTAGCTTGAATCTCTTCTTTCTTCTTCACTCCCGTACGTACGACTTGTCTACATCGTAGTCGCGGCCTGCCACTCGGTTACCAATTTCTTCGGCAACGCCGATGATCATAAGCTTTTGCTGCGCTGTAAATGAATGCTGCCGAGCGCAGCTCGTGGTGGCTAGGGCGACTGACCGGGGCAAGTGAGACGGCGAGGTTGACTGGATCGACTTCTCCCGACGGCAGAGAGCGGAGATTGACGTCTGGCCAGCGTGACGGCTCGCACCGGCCGGAAACAACGCCAAGATGGCTACGCAAAAAGAAGGGGGAGAAGGCTAACTGGGGAGTATTCCCTAGGAGTGACCAGTGTAGAGGGAATCCGGGAAAGCTGTCGCCTATGACTTTGCGCGCACTGCCGCCAAACTTTGCGTATAACCCGTGCCCCCTTTGCTTTTGAATTGATATAAATTTTGATGCGAGTTATACGCATGAAAATATGGTATGGTGAAATACTGATCGATTTGGGCTTTCTATGTTGGATCGCTTGCAACACTGGAAAGTCTAAACTTTGAGGGTTCATTGACCAGCGAACTGTCTTTGGGGGCGTCGATTTTCTCGACGGGGCATGTCTTTTGTTGCAACGTTGAAATCTTGTACTTTAACATCTACTGACTTTCAGACATGCAAGGATGTGGAAGCAAAGTTGCAATGCCTGCAAGCGGGTCAACAAAAACCCCAGAACCATTATAGTTTAACTTTGAGTGGACCTATGGCACAACGTAAAACATAGTCGGTAAAGTGTGAACTTTGTGAATGACATATACTGCAAGCCAAGTCACTTTGCCAAATGAGAGGATCGGCAAGTACGGCAATGGGGACCTCGGCGTGTCTGTTTTTCTAGCGTTAGCTTCTACTGGCAGAGGTTAAACTGTTTCGCATGGCCCCCATAATGAGCCATGCTCATTATGTGAGCCGTGCTCGTTATACGGAGCGCGCGGCGGCGGTGGCGGAGCTCCGCATAATGAGCACGACACACGGCACCGCGCGCTCCGCATAATGAGCACGGCTCATTATGAGAGCCACACGGCGCCGCGCGCACCGCCACCGCCGCACTTGCCTCGCCTGCCTAGCCAGTCTGCGCATTCCAAAGGAGTGACATCATAGCCGCGGCAGACGCACCGGTGCCACCGCGTGCTGAGCTGTGCGCCTCCGTTGTGCAGTAGCCAAGTCTGACGCTGTGCCAGAGCCGCTTGATAGCGCCTCTCATTTTGTGTGCATAAGCTCACGCTACGTATATCCTGCCATAGTCAAGCTAAGCCACTGCAATTTTTTTGTCGTTGAATCTGGGCGTCGACTCGCACCACCTAGTTTTCAAAAAGGGAGTCTAGCGCCAAAAAGCGACGAATTAGTTTACGGATAGGTCTGTGCAGTGGGATCAGATTATCCGTTGAGTTGCTACAGGAAGCTACGAGACCATAGAACCCTTGCAAACTATAATGTGACTGTTGCATAGATGCCTCCCGGTGTTTTAAACATATATTGTTGGCTTTTGGCAACTTTCTGTAATGCACTGTTGTAACAGAAGAGTGTCACACAAGTGTTGAGTCAGCGTCTGGCTGAAAGTCGTGCCCTCGCCGATTTAACGGGAGTTCCAGTTGACCGCTGATGCTGCACTCGTGTCCGATCTGCGTTCGCCTTCGTAGGTGATCGCACCAAGTTTGTCCGTACAATGTCACTGCGAATTAACACACTACTCATTTCGTGTTACCACTGCCTTTGCGACGATAGTGCAGAGAATGGGGCATAGTAACGCAGAATGTTCTTTATCAGCCGATTTTCACGGAGTTCTGTAACATTTGGCCGTGACGACCGTCCGGCTGTAACGAAAAACCGACACCGAAAAGCGTTTTGCCTCTAGAGAACCATATAAAAAGGCTTCAGTCTCCCGGTAAGATTTGGACTATCCACCTTGAGATTGTGAGCCAAGTAGCTTGCCAACTGAGCTACCTAGGGTCGGTGGTACGGACCACGCAAAAGCAAGCTCATTTTTACGGCGCATGAACGAACTTGTGCACTTTGCGGCCTTTCCACTTACGTTGCACCGTCTCCCGGCGTGTGTCTGAAATGAAAGCAAATGTTCGGTGGGTGGTGCCGTTCAGATGCCCTTCTCTCCTTTCCTGAATAGCCTGTGGCACATTCTGTGCTCACATCAGTGTTTGTCAGCGTGATTGAGCTTGTATTCTTTATTCTCTCGTTGCTCTTCTCTGCCGTCTCGCTGTACACTCCTGTCCCTTTGTCGGCACTTCATCTTCAGTCTATGTTTTGGACTTGGAGAGGCTGAGACAAAGGGTAGAGAAATGTGACTTCATATTCCAACCCTTCTTTTTGCTCTGCATCAAGCAAAGAAGGGACCAACAGTGGTCTACACCTGCTTTTTTACTTTGGAAAACACATGTAGGATTCTTCGAGGTTGGGACTTCGGCATTTCTATGTTAAAACAAGATGCAAGAAGTGAACGAAAAGTGAACTATAGTAGAATCTCGATAATACGGATCTCGAGGGATCGCGGAAAATATTTGTATTATCCGAAATTCGTACGAGCAAACACCAAGTCACGAAAGTACATGAAAGCAAAAAGGGGCTACTTGCAATTTATTGGTCACTCCCAGCCAAAGAAGTCAGTTTTCTTCTGACTCTTCGTTTTTTTCTATGTCACCCAGGAGGTACTTTTGGAATGTGCAAAAACGTGCACATGTGGCGTAACTGACGTTGATCGAGCTCACTATGCGCCGCAGCACGTCGAAGGATATCCTTCTGAAAGTTGGTTTAAGAAAATCGCACGGAGTTTAACGTACGTGCAAGTGCAAACAAAGGATGCTTGCTCGTTGACGATTATGTGATCACTGTTGATTCCGAATGTCATTTCTCATGTTCACTCGAGCGATAGAGAGTTCCTACAACCCGTTTATCACATAATAAAAAAGCAAAAAAAAAACAAAAAAAACATCAACTTTAGAGCAGGTGAATGAGAGTTGCTCCAGCAAGTTGAATTCGAATCATGTGACAACACAGGTAGTGCAGCAACGCTGGACGGGGGTATATTTTCGAATTTTGGTACGCAGCCATAGTTATTGTGATTTTAGAGCGTATGTAGAAAGCACAGCGAGAAAAATGATACAAAAACGCCTGCTATGGACTTGTCGGAGCCGAGCGATGTTGCCCTAAAGGACATGTAAACGATGTGGATCGTCGGTCGTATGATCCACCGCGGCCCAGGAAGGCATCCGGACTACGCCAAAACGCAATACATTAGTCTTAAGGGACTTTGGCCAGGGATTTTGAAAAATTCATATCAGCCCGAAATTCGGATGAACCGTGATTGCATCATCGAGACTCTAATGTATAGGTGAGAATCTGGCAGTTTCGATTTTGTGTACCTGATGTCAGCACTGCGAGTCAGGAATGTAAATTCAGCAAAAAGCAACAAGTCTAATGGTTACATTGTTTCCTCTTTTATCATCTTTTTTTTTTTTAAGGCCTGCATGGGCATGATTGTAAACAACTTTATTTTTACAGGTTCGATACTTTGCAACTTTTGCGAAGTCCTGGTTTTGGGAATATTTTGCGGGCACAAAATTTTGCGATTGGGAGCAGTATGTATTTGTTATCATAGGGCAGTGGTTCTTAACCATCAATGTTTCGCGGAACCCTTGTGGATCGGCAAAGGTGATGGAGGACCCAGTTCGTGGTGAGGGGAAGGGAAAGGTATAAGTGAATTCTGATAATGATTTAATAAATGGATATACCTAAGGGCTAGTGTGAAGTAGCCCAGGCGAAAATCGGTCCACTTCCAGCTGGATTATGGAACTGGAAAGGAGGCGGTCTAGCTGGACCCAGCTGGAAGCAAGGTAGACCCGGCTCATTTTCAGATCCATAATCCAGCTGGAAGTGGATTGATTTTCGCCTGGGAGACTTCCCTTATTGACATTCAAACAAGAAAACTGACACAAAGATATGGAGGTTTCTTCTTTGTCTGAGAAAGGACAACATTTGTTGCCGGGCTTGACTGATAAGGCAGGGTTTTGCGGATTCCTAGGATGTCTTCACGGGCCTGCAGACTCCCCTTTTGAGAACCACTGTCATAAAGTAACATATTCCTGGGATAAATTTTTCACAATATTGTCACGAAGGACGAGGGGACGAACAAGGAATAACTGACGAAACTGTAACATCTAATGGGGCAAACTTGTGCCGAAAACAAAAAGTGAACAGAAGATAACAGAGTGTCGCGGGCGTCAAAGTCGGCGTAACGGCAGGATCGAACGCTGGGGCGAGACTGACTCCGGCTCGCCCCTCGGAGCACCTTTTGTACCGGCGTGGGTTTCTGGAACATTCTGCCTAGAACGTTTGGCACGCAAAAGATCCGTAACTCGTTGAGACGAGAAAGTTCTTGAACTTGCGAGAATGACAAGTAGAAAGAATAAATAAAAGAGCACTGCTCTACCTGGAATCAAACTCAGATCTTCCGCGCAACAGTCAAGCACGGTAACCATTCGGCCACGCACATGGCAATATTCAAGTTGTGAAATTCGTGAGAATTAGGTTTTCGCGAAATTAAGTCATTTGCAGTGTACGGAGGAATGGGCATATATCCATTAAAAATCTTAATTTTTTCACGCTGACTTTTATATTGGTGTGACAAGTTTCTAAATGAGTAGCACTAATACCGCAAAATCCAGAATGAATGCCTTTCCCGAAAGATCACCCATCTTCTATCTCTGACTAGGTAAATATCTATAATAAAATTAACTGTTCGGCCAGTTGGTTACTCAACGTGAAAATCAAAAAGCGCTACGAACAAGTGTTAGGACAGGACAAAAGCCCGACCTGTCCTATTCTAACACTTGTCCTTTGCGCTTTTTGATTTTCGTGAGAGATCCGTGGTGTAAACATTGGTTACGATCAGCCACCTCATCCAATTTATACGTTGTCTGATAGTACTCCCTCAGCTGACACACTCCCTGCTAGGGGAGAATGTGCTCGGGTTACAGACTGGGTATGTTAGAGTGAAACGCTGTGTCACGCTTGCAATGGGATTAATGTGCACTTTATTGATACGCAGTTGCAGCTTGGGTACCAATTGCTATCTAACTATGCAAAACAAAAAACTTCCTCAAGCAAATATCTTTTTACCGTATTTGTATGTTAGTTCACTGTGCCTAGGATAAACAAGAAGGGCTTGTTTTGGCCCTAATGTCTTCCTAGGATTTTTGCTAGAAGCTCTCTCTGCTCTAATAATTTTTGTTTTTCTTCTTTAACAGATATGAATTGCCTCAGTCATTGAATCAGGATAACTCTACCTACTTCCTGCCTGTCTACTTGAGAGAGAAAAGGTAAGGTATTAAGTCAACTCGGCTTTTCTATAGTCCGTTGGAACTCAAGAAGGCCGGGGAGGAGGAAGCTTATGAAGCACTGGAGAGAAGAGGAGGTTTTTTTTCCCTCTCCAGCGTTCCGTCTTCTTCTTCCTCACCAGCCTTCCTTTCCCTCGCTCTACCTTCTTGAGCTGTAACTTACTATAGATATTTTTTTTTAATGTTTTTGTAGGGCTTGTTTAGTGACCTTTAGGGAACGCTGCAGATGCTGTTGCAATGGCAAGGGCAGAGTGGAAGTCACCCGATTTAGGCACCTCAAAGTTTGCTTTCTAGCTTGAGACTTTGTCGCAGTTGCAAGCACATTGCACCATGCACATCTGTCCTTGTGAGCTCAGTGTGCTGCCAGGTGTTGAGTATGTTTTAGTATTTTCTTTTGCCGGGTTCCAGTTTCGGATTTTTGGCACATTGTTTTTCTGTGTCCAAATTCTTGAAACTTTAAAATATTGTTTCGAACGAACAGTATGAGATTCGGCCCCTGACTCAAATATTTTTGGCAATAAATTCTTACTACACTTATTTTTAAAACAAAGTTTTTTAGGATTGGTGTTTTAGCACCGTTGAGTTCAATGGTGTAACATTTTATATAGCACTATTACCTGCCTATTTGGTTGTGAAATCACCTGTCGTGCTTTTTGTTGCAGCTGCCGCTATGTGTCCAACAACTGCAACGTGCCTGTGTACCAGCTGTTCAGCCAGCCCTTCTTTGTGTCCGTCCCGGCCAAGGACTGCACCTATGACATGCTCTACAAGCGCATCCTCAAGTGCCTTGCGTGAGTGCACCATCTTCCAAGAAGCAGTTTTTAACGCAGCATACATGTTAGGGCTGACTTCTAAGTCTGGAGCGTTGCAAAATGGTACAAAAACACGACAACACAACCAAGTGTCTTTCCAAAAAAAAAAGACCTCGACTTTCGGCAGGAATTGAGTCACTGACCTCTGTCTCCATAATTAGATGGCACACCACTTCCACCATTTCACACAGACCATTTCCAAGTCTGAACTGAGACAGCGCTGGAGCAGGTCCGTAGCAGACGAGATTTGTTGGCCTGCTTGGCTCTTATCGAGCAACGAGACTAATTGTGCATTTTGTAGCTGATGTGTTTATCTGTTGTTGTCGGTGCATCTGAACACGGTACGTTGCCATTGTGAAGTTTGGCATAGCATCATAGTGGACATCATTCTCGACTTGCTTTTGCACAATAAAACCCTAACAACTGGTCAATTGATTTCTTCCGGGACAGGAGGTATGTGACACCCCCAAAGCCTGGGGAAGAATGGTGGACCGAAGAGAACATGGACAAGCAAAATGGAGGTGGGTGCTCAAGAGCAGGAGGATGTGGGATAGAAGGCCTTTTGATAGCATGATCCTCCATTTCACTGAAACTTTGTTTCTTTTGGGAATTTTCTAAGCATACTCACCAGCTTAGGTGTCATGAACTCTTCACAGTATTTGCGACACTCACTATCCCATCACAAACTCTCCAGAGTACATGAGTCACTACAGTCGACTCTCGGTAATTCAAAGTCGTTTTATTCTAATTTTGGTCAGTTCGAAGCAGGGGCACGGTTCCCGTAAGTACAGATACAATGTGCGGTAATTATAAATTTAACCTCGGGAACTAAATTAATCTGATAGATTTTTTTACCTACTCGAAAGGTCCAGCAACTCTAGAAGTATAAGAAAGCCTCTTCCCCCTCCACTCATTTCCCCCCCCCCCACACACATGCACCACACAGAAGGGGAGACGAGTGGAGGGCGAAGAGGCACGGGAATTTATTATGCAGACAATCAAAGAGGCTTTCTCCCAGCTTGAGTGGAGGGGCACGGTGGATAGCACTGACAGCAGTAGTGTAGAGGGGGAGCAGAATTATGTAACAATGGAGACGACCACAAGAGAGTGGGATAAGGCAGAAAGTAAGGTTCCAGCAGGTACAGTGACAGACCCAGACGACATACCCATGGAACTCATACCCATGGAACTTATAAAGACACTAGGAAAAACAAGCAAATTGAAGTTATGACATGTGATAAATCAAATAATTATGGGAGGAGAGGTTCCCAATGATTGGAAGCTACCTAAGTAAAATGAGACTATAATATATAGAGGCAGCGGAAACAAAGACAACATTAAGTCGTGTCGCCCAATAACGGTAGCTTCAGTTCTGTACAGATTAGCTATGCAGATAGTAAAGTGGAGAATGGAGGAATGGGCAGAAGATACGCAAATACCGAGTGAGCTCAAAAACGGATTCTGAAGAGATAAAAGACTGGAAGATAACTTATTCGTCACCACTCAATGTATAGAAATTTCAACGAAGAACCAGACTCCTTTGTGGTTAGCTTATTTGGACATCAAGGGAGCGTACAATAATACGAGCCAGGAAAAAATCTGGAGTCAGCTGAGGGAATATTACTTATATGCAAATTTGGTTTGGTTTCTTCAGCAGGTGTACACAGACAATACGGTAGTTATAATATGGGAAGCAGAGACTACACAACCCGCTGCAATAAAAAGAGGGCTCAGGCAGGGCTGTCCACTGTCACCTCTACTCTTCATGATATATCTCAGGGAAATGGAAAAGAAATTAGAGCAGAGCAGTTATAGGTTTTGATGTGAGTTATAAGGAATGTAATACCAGGATTGATGTATGCAGATGACATACTACCTTTGGCAGGTAACCAGGATACATTACAGGAACTAGCTGGGACATTTGGAGAGGAAGGCGTCACATTGGGCATGAGTTTTAGTAGTGACAAGTCTGGAGTAGTGGTGTTTAACGACAAAAAAAGGGAACCCGTGATGACACAAGGCATTGAAATAGACCGAGTAGGAAAATGCATATATCTGGGAGTCTGGCTCAATTAGGGAAGGAAATATTTAGAGGAACATGAGGAGAATATAATTAGAAAAGGGAAAAGATATTCATCTATTATGAAACTCAAGGCACTTTGGAACTATAATAGATATGAAGTAGTTAGAGGTACTAATATGGAAAGGAGTGATAGTACCAGGACTGTCTTTTAGCAATGGAGTACTGTGCATGAAATCAGAGGCTGGGCTAACGCCGACAGGGTTTGACTAGAGGAAAATTGGCGACTCCCTCGATGGGGGGAAGAGGTGGAGGGTGATGTTTATAGTTGTTTTGCCCAATCATCCGAAGGTCATCTTGGTGATATCCCACACTACCTGGTGATAGTTAGGGGGAGAAAATTGGCTTAGAAGGGCGGGAGGAATCAAATGTTTGTCTTTCATAGGCTAGGTGGCGCAAGCCACTGCCGGCTACAAAGGGCATAGCCAGTAATATCCATCCATCCATCCATGGGATGGATGGACCGTTTCTGCGGTAGGGAAAAAGAAGGAACGAGCATGGTGCACAAACAAGCCGCAAGGCGGCCAAGCCAAGCCAAGCCATGCAAGCCAAGCCAAGTTAGCATGGCTGCAAGCATGCACATCATGGAGTGATTCCCATGTAAAATACAAAAGCGAGCGCGGCCACGCGGTGTTTACGGCCAACAAACTTTTGGTTTGAGGCATTACCAGTCCTATGAGATGTTTTGTCCACTGAATATATTGATTTCAACAAACATGGTGCGGTCTGTAGTTGTACAGTGACGGGCCTAGGAACGATCGTGTCACTTTCTAGTTCAAGTGGCCAAGTGCCGCTGACGCGGACACATCTTGTGGCACCACGGAGTACAATTTTATGTGTTTTTTGGCAAAGAAACTGTCGAAGGTGCCCAAGAAAGGTTTGCAATTTTAACGCAGTATTCCAGTTAGGGGGGACACTGGCTAGAGATTTAGCTTCTTAACTACTCAAGTGATCAGAATGAAATTTGCAGCGGAGATTTAACATCAGATGAATGTGTATTGTGCAAACTTTGAGCTCTCTAGGACAATTTAATATACTTGCATAAGGAGATGTGTCACTCTTCAGTATGAAATCTATGATATGCAAATGAAGCAATTAAGTACCATTTTGACTGCTTGTATATAAAGTGGGGGATGATGAACTTCGGGTTATCGAGTTTTAATAATTCAAATGTAAATATTTCAGGAAGAGTGATTACCTCAAGACAGGAGATGCATTTCTGTCCTACATAAATTTTTGAAAAGAATGTTTGTTCTCAATGAGGACTTTAACTTAAAACAAAATAAAGTAGATAGCCCAATTCCCCTGTAAATTTCAGTTTAGAAACATCTTGATTGTGGTATCGGAATACTTTTACCTTCGAACAAAAGATTCCTTCGTATGAAATTTTTGCAAAAAGTGGAACTGAGAAAAATGCATTCAAACATTGAACTCCTCTACTTTGTTACTGCCTCACAATGTGTTGAAAATATTTTATATCAACTTAACTATTTGGTGTATGGTTACGAAATTTAGTGTAAGGATGTATAATTAGTTTCTAAAACTGAAAACCTCAAATTTGAAAAATTAACTTTTTAAAAAAAAATTTTAAATTTATGTTTGTTTCCCCTTATTGAAGACAACTATACTACACGTCTTCGTTAATGAAATACTGCGCGTCTCCATTAGCGGAGGCAAGCAGAAATCAACTTCTATCCATGAATACTAAATATAAAACAAAACAAATGTTTTATTTGTTTTTTTATTATTTGAGGAATGTTTAGTTTGAAGCATTTTGCTTTCTTCTTGAGCTTCAAATTATCGATAGCCGACTGTATCACATCAGACTCTTCAGAGTACACGAGTCCCTCACCTTCATATCACAGACTCTTCAGAGTCCATAAGCAACTCTTTATCACATCGTGAACTCTTTACAGTTCACAATGTGACAGTGACTCATAAACTCTCCAGAGCTCATGAGTCACTATCGAATCGTGTTTCGAGAATACACGAGTCACAGTCATGTAGTGAACTTAGTGGACTCTCATCATCACATCGCATGAACTCCTCTGAGTCAATGAAGTCACTCAGTCATCCTCAATCACGCAGTGAGTGGCTGAGAGAGCTCACTAGTGAATTTGCCAAGGCATGCACGTTTGTAGAGGAATGTCGGGAGTGAAGGGGGTAGAGAAAGAGCGGCGGCCAACGGTGGTTGTCCCCCAGAGGTGGACGTGCTCAACGGCAGCAACGAGGAGTCGTTCCACGACGCAGACGAGGAGTGTGCAGACGGGCGGGAAGAGGAGGGGGGCAGCACGGCCGCGGAAGAGGAGCGGGCGCCCAACCACAAGCGTCCCGCCGTGGACAAGCCGCCTCGGCGCCTGTTCAGCCTGCACACCATCAACGAGAATGGGTCTCTCAACCTGGACTCCCTGGAGGACGGGAAGGAGCCTCTGAAGCTGGGGCCCCGCACCTACCTGGGCGCAGACTGGCTGCCCCAGGTGCGCGCCCGCTTCTTCAAGGACCATGTCACCAACGTGAGTTTTCCCACCTCTAGGGCGTAGGGAACGTTCCGAGAGATGTGTTAAGAATGAGCTGGGCACATGCTCTCTCTCTCTCTCTCTGTCTGTCTGTGTCTGTCTGTCTGTCTGTGTGTGTGTCTGTCTGTCTGTCTGTGTGTGTGTGTGTCTGTGTGTGTGTGTGAGACATCACAGTCATGTGACCTCATGATGTCAAGGTCATATAAGCAATATAGCCCTCTGGGGCTATAGGAATTGCTCATATTACCCCTATCTCTGTTTCGGTGGAGTGTGTAGTGTCGCCTTTCCCGTGAAACTCTGCCCTGTAGCACAATCTGCGTTAAAAAGGGAACTTAATGTTGGACGTCTGCTGGCATATCTCGATTCGTCGCAGCAATGTGTTCTGGTTTCTGGTTGTGTGAGGGCCTTTGTAAATTAAGGAATGAGGTTTTGTGCCTTTGGTTAAAAAGAAAAAAAAAAATGCAAAAGCATTTGTGTACTCTTCAAAAGTTGCATTTGGATCCCAGTCGGATCCATTTGAAGCATTTGTCCAAGTCGGTCATACAAAAACATTGTCTATTGTAGACTGTTTAGGCAGCACATGACACCTGAAAACAAAACTAAGTTTATTTATTCGACAAAAGAGTTGTCTACTATTGTAGACAAAACACGCTGCGGAGAAGCAGCACCTGTGGAAGCGATCTTTGCGGGTGTTGCTTCTCTGCAGTGTACCGGTGCTCTGTAAGAAAGCGCGCTCAACGGGGCCACGAGAACAAAAAGTATGAATAGCACGAAAACACCTTTCAAATTATGCGACTTGTAAATACATTGAAAACACAGTGGGACAACCGAAATTTTGAAATTTGTTTGATTTATCCGAAAGTATGAAATATCGAAGTTCGAATTTTTGCGAGTCTACTGTAAATGAAGAGTGAATACACATGCTTGTTCTTGGATGCTTAATCACAATATGCTCGCAATATTTTTTTCATTGCATGAGGATATTTGCGACAAAAGAGAAAGAAATAAATCGAAGGACAAAACTCGGCATTGTTTTCTCGCGTGAGAAAAAAAAAACACTCGTGGTTGTGCCCGTGCCCCAGCTGGTGCCTTGACAGGGATTGGAGACTACTTTATTTTATTTTTCTGCTCTCGCCCTGTGTGCCTTTAAAATTTTATTTGTAAGTTATGTTCAGCCCTGAAGCTGTTTTGGAGCCACATGCCAATGTTTAGTGAAGCATAAAGGATGCACTTGTGGAATATCTCGTGGCAAAGAATAATTGAAGAGCTTTCCTTTCACTCTTCTTGTTTTGTGTTCTTGAGTTCTATCCAGAATTTTTATATCTGAAAACTGAAACATCAATTACCCTCCTTTTCCTCCAAATTATCCCCAGGGGAGGGGTTCACTCAGTTTGCTCATGCTTCTGTGTCTTCATTGCTACCAACCTATGAAGCAAATTGTTCTAGTCATCTAAAAGTCGCAACAGCCTCAGTAACTGCAGGTAGCGGTGATGTGGGACAAGCAATCTTATTGAGGTCCAAAGGAGATTGAGACTTCGCTTATAGCTGTAGTGTGCAAATATTTTCAATGCATGTCTTTTCTGTTTTTCACATGCGTGTGTATCCGACAGTGGCCTTATGATTTCGCGTGAAATGGTGGATGGCACTCTAAAGAGGGGGAAAACAATGGGCGATTTGGGGAAGTTTACTAGCAGCCATGATTCAGGAGAAAGGCGGGAAATGGGGATGTATGGGGAAGAGATAAGACAGAAAGTAAGAAGCCCAAAAATTTGGAATAAAAAAAAAAAAAAAAAGCCATTTGATTTATGGATACAAAGTGAGGTAAGGGAAGTGCGGAAGGGAGATTAGAAGATATGCTGGTCTTGCATCACAGTCTTGCTCGCCAAGATTTGATGGTCAGTGAACACAAGTACAGAGTAGTGCCCGAAGAGGCAATAGCACTAATTTGTCATTCCGCAAAGTTTGGTAAGAGATATGTGCACGTGTTAGGAGTAAGCAAGGTTGTAGCAACAGTGTTTCTGAGATGCATTACATTAACAAAGGGGAAGCTCGCTTAACCCTGCCGTCGAACATATATACTAACATAACTATAATAATCCCTGGAGAAGGGGGACAGAGGACAAACAAAAGTCTCCAAATACAGCTAAGTGACTGGTGCATAACTGAAAAAATCCGCCTGGTCCCGGTATCGAACCAAAGACCTCTGCATTTCCAGTGGAGCGCTCTACCAACTGAGCTAACCATTAGTTAGACGTCAGTAGAGCAAACGGGTTTTAACTGCTGCCTCTGGCCTAACACCAACAAGGGTAAACAGCCCCCATTTTAAGGTTACGACGATAATTCATTGCAAAGGTGCAGTGAGCTGGATAAGATTAGCAATAATCCCCGGAGAAGGGAAACAAGGGGGAGAAAGGACAAACACAAAACTCCAAACGCAGCTAGGACCATGATCAGGCGAATTTTTCCTATCACGCATCAGTCCCCTAGCTACGTAATCGTCACTCTCGTCCAGGTCGCTGCACCTTCGCATTACAGTAGAATCTCGTTACTCTCTTAATTCGAACTTGCGGATAATTCAAACTAACATGCAGGTCCCATCCTATGCGTCTCTATGGGAGGAAACTCCCGGTAATTAAAACTCTTCTTTATTCAGACAAATGTTCAGTCCCCCTCGAGTTGAATTAACGAGATTCGACCGTAATCGCATTAACATTGTACGCTAGCGGCGCAACCTTTCCAAAGGGCGCAAGGCCGGAATAGAATAGCGACCCTGGACACGAAGGAAGGTCCCCCTCTCTCGCAGGACATGGTGGTGCACGAGTCGATGCACCAGCGGCAGGTGGCCAAGCGGCAGCTACAGCTGCGGGAGTGCCTGGAGCTGTTTACGACGACGGAGAAGCTGGGGGCCGAGGACCCCTGGTTCTGCCCCTCGTGCCGCAGCCACAAGCAGGCCACCAAGAAGTTTGACCTGTGGAGCCTGCCCCGGGTGCTCATCATCCACCTCAAGCGCTTCTCCTACAACCGCTTCTGGCGAGACAAGATCGACACCCTCGTCGAGTTCCCCATCAGGTGCCTCCCCCCATCCGGCCGGCTAACGAGCCACGTTCGCGAGTGTCCACGTTTGTTGCGTTGCTTAGCCAAATATCCGAAGCCCTATCCGTAGGAATCCTAGCAATGTTTACAGGCTACTTTTGGAAATGCGAGCCAAAATCACTCCTGCGAAGTGTATACATTGCGTGAAAAAAAGGTTGATGCCATAGCGGTCTGTGTCAAGGAGCTTGTTAGGGAAAAGTATTAGCGTGAGGAATAATTGGGTAATTAATTACTTTCCTCTAAGTAAATTTTTATTAATTAATTTTGAAGGTGCAGTTTCAGTTAAGAACTTGCCGGGCATCATCGAAAACTACTAAATCCACCCAAATTACAACGCTATATGGCATGCGCAACTTTTTCGCACGTTCCAAGAAAAATTTTCATTGAGCACGTTTGTAGGTTTCGCTTTCTTGTCAGAGTGCTTCTCCGCACCAGGAATCCCGCTCCCCGTGGTGGTGACGCACAACGTACTTGCGCTGCCACGCATCGCACGTAGAAGAGGCTAGGTAAGAAGGTCTCCGGACTACCGAATCAGGTCTGCCTCTTAATGCGAAAGCGTTAACTGGTCCCTTGGAGCGAAGCTGGCGTTGTCTGTAACCGTCTGTAGCATCGAAACGGCAGCTAAATTCCCATCTGTAGCAGCAAAACATGGCATTCATACACGTAAGCAGTCTGAAGTTTCCTTTTGTAATTTTGTTTATGTTGCTGCCTGTGTGAAGACACCTTTGTGTGTGATGCGTGGTGCCGCACGCACATGGCGTCTTTTGGCCGAATGGGGCGGGATTGCCGACACGGAGATCGCTCTAATAAAAACTGAAACCTAGAAACACGTCAATATTGCGCAATTTTTCTTAACAATGTGTTTATTAGTTTTGAATGGTTTGCATCAAGTTTCTAATATAAACAGTACCTTAATATTAATAGAAAAGTAGCTAATTACCCTATTCTTAATGCTAATGATTTTTCTTAATGGGCCTTTGGCACTGACCATTACGGCATCAACCTTTTTTTCTGTGTGATCCGTAGTTTTCGCGGGACAATTTCACCCGCATTTCCAGAAACACCCGGTGTATGTTGGCCTTGTACTTAAAAGGGTTCTTCTATTTTTTGAGTAAATGAAGTACACATTAAAGTACATATTCACAAGTGCGTCTTGCACATTATGCACTTGCACGATGTAGACTCCGCGAGTTTTTATTCACAAAATAAATTAATTTTTGTTCTGAATTACGGTTAGTAGTCCAAGAAAAATATAATTTATGAATGTTGCTTTAACGTCTGGGGCAACCGGAAATCAGACAGGAAGACTGACTTATCATTGCAGTGCAATAGACTACTTCCATAAAGCCCTGCATGCAACACGGCGCGCGTTGCACTCTGGGAACTAGTTGGCCAGGGAGGAGGGTGGCATGGTTTCGGTTTCGATAGACACGTCGACAAGAGATTGTTTTTTGGTCCCAAGAGCGTCATTTGTGGTCTCTAAACTAACCTAAATGGCCAGACCTCGAACCTTTAGCACAAGCCTGAGACGTATAGCTTGTCTTAACACATGCTTGTTGTATTCTTGTACTTGAGCCTTCCTGTTAGCGTTCCAATCGAGGTATGTGGACGAGCCAGTGCTGGGAATCTCGACGCTGCGAAGCTCGGGGATCTTGCTTGTGTACGAATCAACAAGCTGTAGCAACCAATAAGTATGCATACATCAAGCTCGCGTCTTTACATTAGTGTTGTTGATCAGGAAGTTTGTTTCGTGCGTCCATACACGAAATATTACTTTTTGCTATTACTGTTTTTTTTAATATGCCTGAGTATGCAAGGTAAAACTCGGAGGCGCCATTGAAAAGCTAAATTTTAGCACACTTCTTATCTCTTATCTGAACAGACCCGCAGCACTGCGCGAAGTGAAGTTCCCACCCGCTTGCATTCCACTAATATTCAACATCGCGTATGCGCATAAAGTTATCCTGCAATCATATAGGAAAATTCGCACATACAGACCGTTTTAAGAAAGCAAAAGTCGAGCACTTCTGTGAAGAATGTCGCACCGTTCGCCGGAAATGCGCCGGACGGGCATGAACCCCTATGCGCACCGCATAGGGGTTCATGCCCGTCCGGCGCACGGTGCGACATTCTTCACACAAGCGCTCAAACGAATTCAAAGCGCGTTTGACGGTTGCTAATGGCCATAATATTTGTTATGTGTTTGCTTTCTTCCTGCCTGAGTATATGCCGAGATAATTTCAGACACACCGTTCAGGCACAGATCTTGGGCGTCAGTAAAAGCTCGTCCAAAAAGGCTTAGCGAGGAGTAGGGGACGCTTGTTAGGGGCTCCGTCGTAGCTAGCCGATCTCAGCGTTTGCGAAAAGTTAATCTTCTATCAGCATAAAATTTGAGTGTGAGATAGGTGATGACACGAGGAAGACATCATAGTAACTTTTGTGCAGTAGTGTAGTCGAAATTATTGCGTTTCCTTAAAAGTTCATGCGTAAACGCTGGGCTCAACTTTGATACCCTGTGAGGATGCGGCTTGCTTTTCGCCCAATGAAGTAACAAGAAGCGAACGTTTGGCAAAAAAAAAAAATATGTGTAAAGCTCCAGGTGAACAAATCTCAGTTCTAGTTCACTGGTACTAGACGGGATTATTGAAATTGAGCTCAAACATGCACTCGTGGGGTGAGGTGACTAAGCCACGACTTACTACGTTCGCATACGCACGTACAATATCCGGTGTTTCGGGAACTAAGGAAAGTGCCCCGGTCTTCGTATTGTATCGCTCGAAAATGAGTGCATTGTACGTCCGTGAAAAGTCAGATAATCGAAAACGCGAGCAGCGCGTTCGGTCGCGGCGTGATAGCATGAGATGAAGCTGCTCAGTCGAAACCGAAACTGAGTGGCCAACTAGTTCCCAGAGTGCACTGCGTGGTATTTCGCCGCAATGGGGCGCGTCGGTTTTGAAACAAGTCCATTTGGATGGAGACTCATGCTGCACGCTTTTTCCGCAGCAATCTGAGGATGCACGACTACATCATCAACCAGAAGCATGGTCCAGCTGTGTACGATCTCATCGCAGTGGCCAACCACTACGGCGGCATGGGTGGCGGACACTGTGAGTAGCCCAGCCCGTCTTTCTACACTTGTCCAATCTCCTTGGCAAACAGTAGGGCCATAGCAGCTTTTTATTAGTGCGGTCATACCTAAAAGTCGCGTACAATGTTATCCATGCATTTCCTGGGTTAGTCCAGGAATGTGTAGCAACCGATAAATCTCTGCGCTGGTTACGCTACGATACTAGGTCAAACAGAAAGCAACTTCATTTGAATCCTGCTGGACAGCAGTCTTTGCGTACAATGATGTGTACGAAAGATTTCTTTAACCATTGAGGCTCTTTTTGTTTTCTGCCGAACTGCTGCTGCTATGTGTTCTGGCATTCTTTCGTGGGTGGCCTTGACCTCTTGTGACTGGTGGCAATAATCTCCCTCTCCCCCAGACACGGCCTATGCGAAGAACAAGGAAACGGAGCAGTGGTATTACTTCGATGACAACAGCGTCTCCCCCGCCACCGAGGACAATGTTGTGGTGAGTCACGTGTCTGCGCCCCATCAATGTTTTAGTTTATGCGCCTAGAAAAATTGGCACGAGATGTCTAGTGGCACACTTGCATCTATGTGCCTAGATGCAAGTGTGCCTGCCATTGTTCGGTAAACACTTAGTGCACCAGATACAATTTTCAAAGTCGGGTCTACGGGCAGAAACTTTCCGGCTAAGGAGGAGGTCGTTTTTTCTGGGGCGTTGCAATAAAAGGGCACTATAATTTGTAAGAACTTGAAATTGCAGTACCACAGAACCATAATTTGTTCTTTCGATTTGTGCCACTGGAAAGTTCTAACGCGTAATATGTTATATTGCCAGCACCTAACAGTTTCCTCTAGCGCAGATCTTGTGGTGCAAGTGTGCCACCCAAAAATTAAACTGTATAAAAAGAAAAAAAAATTAAAAAAGAAAAGTATCGGGAGGAAGCATGTAAGCGCTCGATTTCTCGAACCGGAGCCAATCCGACTGTGAGTCGGATGCTTTCAATATACTGTGGCGACAGCATGTGCAGGAAAAGCGAGTTTAAAGTGTCTCAATGCAGCGAGCCAAGACTGCTCCATTGTGACACGAAAGGTGCTGGAATTTTTGTCGCCTACCAGAGGTGAGTGAGAGGCACGGGTAAAACACGAGGGCCGCATCATCGTTCGACGGGAACTTGTGCAAAACACAAGTTTCTATCACCTGTGTCACTGCGTTCGTGTCCCTTCGTCAGCACTTCACCTTCAGTCTATGTTGTGGACTTGGAGAAGCTGATACAAAGGGTAGAGAAATGTGACCTCATATTCCAACCCTTCTTTTGCTCTGCATCAAGCAAAGAAGGGACCAACAGTGGTCTACACCTGCTTTTTTACTTTGGCAAACACATGTAGGATTCTTTGAGGTTGTGACTTCAGCATTTCTATGTTAAAACAAGATGCAAGAAGTGAACGAAAAGCGAACTACAGTAGAATCTCGATGATACGAATCGCGAGCGATCCCGGGAAATATTTGTATTATCCAAAATTTGGATTCTATAATGGAATCTTCACTTCACTAGACATGTTTTGAGTTTTCAAGGCTGTGACGTGAGCGTTTTAATGATGTTACAACAAGATAGAAAAAGTGAAAGAAGAATAAGCTATACTAGTAGAAAATTAGGGAAAGGGACAAAATTTTTCTTTGGTGCTCTCCTAATTTAGCTTTACCGAGTGAGTGGCATTCTTTTTGTGCTTGGTTTAAGGCTGACTCAGACATTTGCTTTGTGTTGCATTGCATTGCATCTCTTACATTTCATCATGACGCTTTGCACATGTTGGCTGATTCAGGCATTTGCTTTGTGTTGCATTGCATTACATCTCTTACATTTCATCATGACGCTTTGCACATGTTGCGTGGCCCTTGGTTGCCGTAACAGCCTGGCATAGCATCTTGTTGTAGCAACTAGTTAGTTGTAGGCAGTTGTAACGGTACCCAGTTGTACTTGGATGCAAACGTCAGAACCAGCCTTTAACTTCATCACTCATGTTGATGTCAGTCGAAAACACTCTTTTATGTTGATGAAAGTAGTCTAAAAGTGTTGTCTGGAGTACATTGGATACATGAATCAAGGTTTAGGGGTGTACTGGTTCATTGGAGAGTGCAAAAAAAACGAGTTTTGATGACAGTCCTTCAATACTGAGGAAGAAAAAGATAAAACCAGCGATCGCTTGTTCGCGCTAACAGTGTTGCAGAGTCTAACGAATTGACGCCACACTTGGCTAAGAATGGAAATAAGGGAGTTTCAGTAGATACATTTTCAACAGCAGTACTCGATAACAATACAACACACGTGTAAAGGCACCTATTGAATATTGAGCATTGTTACCGGAACAATCTATCAAACTCCCTATGTGTGCAGTCTAATTTGGGCTGTGCATTCTTTCAAAAAGATTACTGTGACACAACTGAAAACGGTGCACAAATAACAAAAACGAGGAAGCTGTAGATGAGACAAGCGCTTGTCCCGTCTACAACTTTCTCGTCTGTTATTTGTGCGCTGTTTCCAGTTGTATCATGAACCAACTCTCCTGCATCTCCACTTTGGTTAATGTGAGGTGACTGCTCACATCGGACCTTTATTATTAACGAGTGCAAGCATGTGTAGCATTGAGAAATTTGTAAGTAATGAGCTCTAAGCACATCACTTTCTTTACTCGTGGAACCAACTATGAACATATGAGCTCGTTTATTTAGTAGAGCCACTTCGTAAGTGCGGCCACAACGTGAGGGCATGCAGCGAACCCTACCTCTTGCCAAGCTCAATCGCCGCACAAAACGCAATGGGGATGAAAGTCTACACAAGCTGGCAGGGACCAGACATTTGGAAGCTTGGAGTTGCTGGTCCCCTTTGATTCTTTTTCTTCGTCGACACCAGGTTTCAGAACGTTTACCGGAAATGTGTTTGGTCTAGAATGCATAGAGCAAAGGCTTCCAAGTTGGAGAGCTCTGGAATGCTCTACGAGTGTCCGAGCACGAAATTTTTCATTTTTGTTGGGAAAGCTAGTTACCGACGTGACAAGAACAGCACCCGACAGAGATTGCACTGCGCCGCATGCAAACTCAGATTATTGAGTGGAACCATAACAGTATTTTCTTTCTCGCTTTCTTCTCTCCTGCTCCTCCGGGACGCCTCCGTCGCGGACCCAACACCAGTCGAAGGCGGCCTACGTGCTCTTCTACGCCAAGCGCGGCGAAGGACGATCTCGGAACCCGTCGGCGTCTGCGAGTGCGTCATCAGCCGACCGCCAGTGCTCCTCCGCGTCCGGTTCCCCCGTGGACGAAGAACACATGGACCTCAGCTAGGAAGCAGACAGACAGTGCCACCCCCGACCGGGGGGCGAGGGAAGAGAGGAGAGAACACGGACAATGCCCGAGAATGCCGAGAGAGGGGCTTTTGCACGTGCAAGAAGAGAGAGGTGGAAGAGCGCGGCGTCCCGACAGTCAGCCGTCCCGCAGTTTCCGAGTTCTTGCCCGCCGTTTTTGCCGACGCCGCTCTGCCTCGACTCCCCCGACCGCCATTCCCGTGTCTCTAACGATTGTTTGTTTTGTTTCTGACTGACCGGCTTGAGAAAAGAGCCCAAACGACGTCTATTGTGGCGCCGTTCAAATGCTTTTTTATGTTGGCTCTTTTTTTTTTTTACGGCGGAGATTAAAGGGCAATCTTACTTGGATCGGCATGCAGCTGGGTCACTTGCGTCGAATTTCCCGGATAGGTTTCATTGCGGGTGCTTAGAGGGCGGCGAAAACGTGGGAGAAATATTTTTTACCTTTTCCCGTCGGGGTTTTCGAAAGGGGTTGATCTTGCCTACCGAGTCCTCGCGGACGAATCTTCCAGTCTTCATTTGACTCGTAAAGGAGGAACGTTTGTATGAAAGAATAGGCGTTTGGTACTTGTGCCGGTTTGGGCGTTCTCAAAAGTCCTAGCTTTCGCGGGGTAGTGAAAAGAAATTTGTTGTCTCAATTTAGTGCATAGGGAATTTCGGTAGGGCCGCAGAGGTGAATTGGGCAGAGATGCAGCCGGTAGGAAAAAGAACTGGCACCATGTTAGGCTGAAGCACCTGAAAGCTGGTTCAGCTGGAGCTGCCTTTATTGTAACCCTAATTTTGATACGAGGTGTGACGATTGGTAGAGAGAGGTATTTGCACTGACGGGTGATGTGGTGGTATCGGCTTGCGGTTACATCGTTGGTCCTGATTTGAATCCGTGGTTTGCAGTTTGTGTCGGGAGTAGCTCTGTATCAGGTCGGAACATTGCCAAGAAGAGGCACGTCGCCTTGACTGAAAAGATTGATTGATCCTACGCGACCATGACTTCTCTCTGCCGGAGCCGAAACGGAATGTTGTGATACTACGCGACAACGGTGTTCGAGGCAACCTGGATTGGCTGTTGGAAGTTGCACACAGTACTTTCCTCTTCTTGCAGTATCTGAAAGAAATGCGGTAAAGTAATCCAGTTTGTTTGTTTCTTCTCTTAGGTGTTTTTTTTTTCATAGATGCTTTTTTTGGCTTGTTTTTTTTGGCACGTCTGCTTTAGGCTATTTTTTTTATTTGAGAAATTGTGTAATTTATTACGTGACGGTTTGATCAAAAGTTGGGCGATCTCGCTGTTGCGAGGTTCCGTTCTCCCTTTTGCTTCCACTGTAAATGTGTTCTGGGTTATGTTGTAAATTTGAAATAAAGGTCTGTTTTCTAGTTCTTTGCCCGGTATAGCAAAGGAAAGCTGTTTTAAGCTTTTTTTTTCATCTAGCGGTTTTGTTAGTTTTCTTTAAGAAGTGGAGCTTCTAGGAGAAAGCGTCAAGAGTTCACGTGATGTGGGGGAAAAAAAATTGTACAATCGCATAATGTGGAATATGGTTCAAACACAAGTGAAGGAAATCTGTCGAAGAGTATTGGCATTTTGATTTGTGACTCTCAAATCCTGAAAATACTTTTGTTCTGAGATGCAGGTCCATTGCGACACTGTTCTTTTTACTTGGAATAATAAAGAATGCTAGCAAGCAGAATTGCGTTATTGAATCCTTGCAACCAAATTTAATGCAGTTGCAGAGATTGGTTGTTCCTCACACATACATCTGACAAACACCTGGTGTTATCATAATATAAAAGAATACTGATTGGAACGATTGTTTACCTTTGTTAAGAGTTACCGTAAAATACTGAGCAAGTGCCCCCTCAAAGTTTGAAGATAATCGTGAAAAAATGGGATGGGTGCATGTGACATCCTAAATTTTACAATACAGGGTGTTTCACGAAAGGTGGACAAACTCGATATTGCAAAAACTATGCATCGCGCCAAAAAAAATGCCTGTGTCGTTTTGGTCCTAGGCCAGGGGCCTATTTATGGAACTTATTGGAATAATTAAGTTCTTAATTATTTTTGGGTAATTAATTTTTTTAAATATTGAGTTGAAGGGCATGATTTCATTTGGAAACTTGCTGAGCAACATCGAAAAACACTAAACAAAAAAATTGAAGGCTATAGATGGCGCACACGGCATTTTACAGCTTCCTGAATAACAGCACAGCTTTGACGGGTTTTTAAGTTTCGGTTTTCAATGAGAGCGCTTCTCGGCACCGACGGCACCGCACCCCATGGTGAAATAGTGCAACCAACCTCTGCTGCGCTGTCTTCGCACAATGCAGCAGAGACAGGTTGCACTATTTCTCCACAAGGCACGGTGCCGTTGGCTCCGAGAAGCGCTCCGATTGCAAACCGAAACTTAAAAACCCATCGACGTGATTTTTCAGAAAGCTGTGAAATGCAGTGCGTGCCTTCTATCGAACTCCAAATTTTTTATTTGGTGTTTTTCAATGATGGCTGAGTAAGTTTACTAATGAAACCATGCCCTTAAACTCAATATTTAAAAAATTAATTACACAAAAATAATTAACAACTTATAATTACCCCAAACTTCAATAATTTTCCTAAATAGGCCCCTGGCCTGGGACCAAAACGACAAGCCTTTTTTTGGTGCGACGCATAGTTTTTGCAATATTGAATTTGTCCATCTTTCATGAAACACTCTGTATATGTAATGTGCATATTTCCTCGGATGTTTCAAATTTTGGGGGTGGGCACTTAGTGCAGAATAGGTGGATGCACTGTATTATACGGTAGTCATTAGAGTGCCTCACACATAAAAACAATAAATTAGGGTGAACTTTTTTCAAATCTTTTTTTTTTTGTGTTTCTGTAATCCAGTCAAGTGAGAACTATAATATACAGGGGGACTCAAAGGGATTGATGACTGTCTGAAGGGTTGGCATAGATTGGTTTCTCAATGTATTGAGTTAAGATTTTACACAGAGGTGGCCGAAGAATGCGCACGTTTGTACTTTGAGCCTGATGGATATATTTTTCGCTATAAGCGGCCCGCTCCGGCAAGCGCTTGGAGAGCAGCCAGCGGAGAGCACGTGACGTAAACTGTGTCAAGACAAGCAAAGCTGTGGCAAGGCCGACAACGACAGGATGCCCTGGCTCAATGGTTCTCAACCATCTATGTTTCACGGACCCCTTGTGGATTGGTGGAGATGATGGAGGACCCCGTTCGTGGTGAGGGGAAAGGTATAGGTTAAATATAATAATGATTTAATAAATGGATATAACTAAGGGTAGTGTGAAGTAGACCTTTGCTATTGACATGCAGACGAAAAAACCTGAAAAAGACAATTTTTACTGTTCTGTTGACTGATAGGCAGGGCTTTGCGGACCCCTAGAATGCCTTCGTGGACCCCCATTTGAGAACCACTGCTCTAGCTGTTCCAGCCAGCGATCGGGCCACCGCAACCAACCACAAAGCTGCTTTTCTACGAATTTTGAGTGACTGGTTAATCTTTATAATTTTGTAGAGGGACAATAGCAATGTCTGGACAAATCTGGGACACAAAAGAGAGTCCCGGTGAGAGGGGAGTTCCTCCTTCCCCTCTTCTCTTGTGGTGACCGGAAAGCTGACGGGGTGACGTCGGGTTCAAGGCACGTATAATTCTAGGCGAGACGGGCATTGTCACCACCTGTCAAGGTTCCTAGATGGGCATTACAAACGAGGCTTTAGCGACATCCACCAGGTTCTCTTTGCTAACCGTCTAATTCGTTCTAAAATTCCTTTTCGTGTCTTTTTCAACAAGAGATTGGTGTGTCCGATGTGATACTGCTCTTTTGAAAAGACATAGACCAAAAAATAAGCGCCAAAATTTTGTTGTCGTATCCCTTTAATGCCCATTCTTTGGCCACCTCTAAACAAATTTAGCTCAATACGTTCTCCAATTGATTTATACAATCTTTTGAAACAGCTATCAATTTCTTTGACTCGCCCTGTATATTAGCAAATGACTACTGGAGGAAAAAAAGAGCGCACTACAGGACAGGCACTGTCTTTTAGAGCGCAGCTCTTAAGCGCCCGTTTCCGGCTTGAGCGGTGTCGCCGTCGGCGTAACCACGCGGTGCATTATGGGACACGTGACGTCACTGATGACGTCACCGGCATTCGCATCGTCACGTGACCCCCGTGAGGTCACGTGACCCCGGTAACGTCGCATGACCGTCGGGAGGCGATGGCGACGCCACGCGGACGGAGGGAGGAGTAGCAGACAGGATGAGGACGTGAGGAGGAGGGGTATACCTTCCCCTCAGTACCCTTCCCTCCTCCTCCACAAAAGCTGCGCTCGGCGTTACACGGAGTTGTAAACGGCTTTCATTTTTCTTTTTTGTTTCTTTTAAGTGTTGGATGCTATTCATTTTGCCCAGTTTTTTTATTCAGTCATGCCTAATTGACTTGGAAGCTAGGACTAATGAACATTGATGTTAAATGTGAGAACTGCTGCATCATCTATGCTTTGTAACATTGACAAGCCAGCAGCCTAAAACATTTACATATGACAAATATAATGATAGTCATTTGCCACATCAGCATTCACTGTCACTTAGCATGAACAGCAAGCTGTATCAAATACTGCTTGTTAAGATTTCCGTTAGTAAGCTCCCTAATCTACAGGCCCCAATTGAGCAAATAAAATGCGCTTTTTTGGCCCTCAAAAATAAACTGCACATCGTAAAAATCTGAAACTCCGTGAGAATGTGACTCTAGCGGTGGTGACAAAAATTCTAGAGTGAGAACTTGACATTACCTGAATCAAAAGATGAGAGAAAAACATGTTTCTTCACGAGTCGACGTCCACCTACCGTAACATACCGGGCAAGCGCCCACTCAAACTTCAGAGATAATCCCAAAAAAATGGGGGATGGGCCCTTCTCCGGTCATCAATTTTACATATAAATGTACTGTGTATATTTTCTCAGATCCTACAAATTTCGGAATGGGCACTTAGCGTGGTGTGGGCGGGTGCACGGTATTCTACGGTAAGCCCAATATTCATCAAGCCAAGAATTGTGGGCGCCGGTAGCATTAATCACAGTGAAAAAATCTTGTCGGTGAGAACGACTATTGTTTTACCATCTGATAAATTAAAAAAAAATATTAAAGGTGTTCACAGTATCATTTCTTGGTTTGATGAATATTAGGCTTAGGTGGACGTCGGCGGAAGGAAATATTTTTGTTTTTCTCTCATCTTTTTATCTAGGTAACGTCATGTTCTCAAAGTCCAGAACTTTGTCACCACTGCTAGCGTCACATTCTCAAGTTTCAGCTTTCTACGATGAGCAGTTTATTTTCGAGAGCCGAAAACTCAAGTTTCATTTTCTCGATTTAGCCCTGTATGCTGGCACTGCTAAGTTGTAAAACAAAGAATCTGCCTTATTTTATTTCGCAGGCTATATACGTTTAAAAGATTAAATTTTATGCTGTTTGGGCTATCTACTACCGCAGACGATGCAAGGATTTGTATTTCAAGATAGTTCATTATGACAAAGCATGATGAATTCTGAAAATGACAGGTTATGCTGATGATATATGTATAATATGAGCTTCTTTGTGAGCTAATAAAGCAATCATTTTTCAGGGTGTGCAGTGAATTATACTTTTTTAATAGGCAAAATATGCGCAAGGTCCAGACTATGCACCAGCCGCGGTCCGAGTTAAAACTTGCTTTCTCCAACCAATATTTGCCTCAGCGGACCATGCATCGAGTGCGGACCGGAAAATATGTTGCATGAAGGCAAAGAAAAGACTGGACATACATGTGCCTGTCTTTTGTTCACTTTTATGTAGGTATCTTGTACAACTTTGTAGCACAAATATTGAACAAGCAGCATAAAAATCTAACCATTCGCTTTTCAAGCCTTGCTGAACTCCATTATCGCTGCTGGGATTGCCACCATTTACTGCAAACCTCGAGGTTGCCGAATCGCCACAGGTTCGAAAAGCGAAAAAAGCACCCGAAGCACGTTTTTCTGGGCACAGCGCGGTAACCTCGTGGTATATTGGCTCGTACCAGGAAGGAGGAAGTAGTGGAAGGACGGAGTTTACTGCCCACTTCGGAAGCCGAGCAGGACAAGTTCATATTTGGGGGACTTGCGTGCCAAACCAACGAAGGGCATCTGGCAAGCCCCAGCAGGGGACCGAGGATTAATTTCGACCTAAAGTTGAGGCTTGGGCGAGTTGGTACGTACTTCGGAATTAAAAACAGCGCGGAAAGACGAGGACCAGACAAAGAAGTGACACGGACGTAGCGCTACGTCCATGTCACTTCTTTGTCTGGTCCTCGTCTTTCCGCGCCGTTTTTAATTCGGAAGTAATTTCGACCCCCTGGGGATCTTTCAAAGTGCAACTGAAATCTCGGTTAGACGGCGCCTTCTCCTCGCAATAAGCTTTGTCAGATTGCGGGCACCTCGGCTGGGGCCCCCACCCGCCACCTGGTGATTCGTAGGCTGAACTATCCCAGGACCCTGCCCACAAGTAAAGCCACAACAACACTGCTTGTACACACACATCTTTATTGATCTGTTGGTTGGTTGGTAAAACATTGCTCTCGTCATTATTTTTGTTCAATGTCGCGGCACTATGGTACAACATAAATACTTTTTCTCCAACACGGGACTGGAGCAATCGACGCACTTTCATTAAATAGGCCCCGTGAAGAGTATTTGGGATTCTAGCAGGCATCTAAGTGTACACACCTCTAAAAGCGATTGCGAGCGAACGGTATTGCCGGGAAGCATGGGAAACCTAGAGACGTGTGGTTTCTTGGACTTCCTTTATGATATTGTTCACGACGTCACGCGTGCTTGCCTGGCCTCCCAGATCTGGTGTGTGGATCTGCGAAGGATGAAATGCACTTGATTTTAAGCGGAGCAATGCTTAACATATGCCTCTTAAAATTGGTCGAGTATTACACCGCACACTTGAGGATTAATGTTTAGGATGAAAGAGGATTTGGTTACCTTGTCCACATTGAGTGTCTTGTCGATAGCATTCCTGATGACGGTCGCATCCTTTTTTAACCTGGAAGTGCATTTGCCATGTTTATGTATTTGAGGGTCTTTGGACATTATTCTCTCCCTCCACATTCTTATCTCCGTCGACGTTATTGCTATAAAGCAGTGCAAAAGCCTACAGAGTTAACAATAATGCTGTGCTACAGTCGAACTTGGATATATTGAATTCAAAGGGGATCGCTTAAGCTTCGCCTTTAAGAGTAAAGAGTGTAATGCGATAGCGAAACATATAAACAAATAAACTTCCGATCATACCCAAGCCATGCGATGTGCCTTGCGTGGCCTATAAATAGCGTGGGTTTGAATCACACCTAAATTTTTTCAAATGTTTCTTTGAATTAATTTATAGAGTGAAATCATTTGAGACATGCCGCAATCTTTAATTCACATTACATATCACGTTTTTTAATTGCTTTCATTCCATGCGTGACGTCACGTTTCACGTTAGCATTGTGGGTTGTTTGAAATTCCCGCGCGAGGTCATGTGGCTGCAACGTCGTGACCCTATCGACCAATCAGGATTTTTGCGGCACGCCACTGATGCCAGCTTTTCTGCCATGCCACCGATTTTCTGCAACACAAGCTCCTCAACGCAACTGCGTTAAAATGCTAGTGTTTAAACTGGCAAAACACTTTAGAGACAACTGACAAAATTTGTTTGAAATGCCCTCAGAGCTTCCTTGAGCAAAGTTCCTCAATGGAACCTAGGGGCTGCCTTAGAAGAATTCCCAAGTACTACCGGGAAACCCATATTAAGAGTAGGCATGAATCGCTCTAAAAATCATACTTTGAACAATGCAGCTTATTGATAGGGTTCGTTAAGGGTATTATTTTTTTGGGAGGGGGTTGATATTTCGCAGTTTATAGTTTTTCCGTAGTAGATTCGGTGGTTTTCAATGTCAATTTCCAATGTCGCATAAAAAAAATAGTGCATTTATTGCGGCCAATGTAGAAAAAAAGCGGGACAAAGAAACGGGAATCCTGGACCTCCGAGGAACGTATGTGCGACCTGAACGCTCGGAAAATGTCCCGGTACCCGAGAAAGAAGGAAACGAGATGGGATTGTGGTTCAACAAGAAAGCAGCAGCCTGGTGGACAGTTCAGTGTGAGCTGTATTCCGAGTCAAACAAAGCTGCAGCAAAAGTTTCCTTTCCACGAAGGTTGGGTCTTTTTTTATTCAAGGACAGCTCCAATTTGGGGTTTTTGAGTTTTCTTTGATTTTGATCAAACCAGTAGGAAGGTTACTTTTAGGTGTTTATCGTTATGGCAGCGTGTTTCTCGAGATATGAACCAGATAGTTCCTGCAAAAACTATGCATCACGCAGAGAAAAAGGTAATGACATACTGGTTTCTGCCAAAAGGCCAATTTGGAACAATTATGTTTATTATAGTTTGTTTATCAATTACCTTTGAGTAATTAGCTTTGAAATTAATTAGTTTAAAGTTATGGCTTCAATTAGCTTGCTGGGCATCATCAAAAAGTTCTAAATCCACTCACTTGAGAATGATATAAAGCATGTACAGTGTTTTTATGGCAATGCAAAATAAGGTGCAATTTGGATGCATTTGTATATTTAGGTTTTCTATAGCAGTATATGCTTGTTCCAGCAAAGCTGCATTCTACCTCCCCCCGTGGTCGTAACACGTGGGGAGGTAGAATTGCTGCGCTAATGCAAAGATGCTCTTCGGTAGGAAACAAAAACCTAAAAATGCGTCCAAACTGAGCGTTTTTCCGGAACGCTGTGCAATGCCATGCATTCTTTGTACCTAGGGTTTTGCGGGGCTTATATTTCATGAAATTCTAGGGCGTTTATCAGAGCTTAATATTTTGGCCCATATTCGCATTCGTCCGAAATTCAAAGTTTAATTTCGCTGTATTCCCAATTTGTACAAAATCTAAAATAAAAATAAATAATATCTAAACACAAACAATCATATCCTAAATTCACTTGTATTAACTTATATTTCTTCAGCTGGATTTGGCAGTGGCACCCCCGCCATTAGAAATATGAACCGCATGTTCCACGACGAAACTCGCAAACAAACATTGCTCGAATAAACATCAACACTTCAAAACCCCTAGACACCTGGACATAGTCGTTGGGAAGCACCGAAGCTTCACCTGCCCTGCCTCCATTCTATGAAATTTATGGGTTCATATTTTTACATTATAAAAATACGACCCCTTCTCTTCCCAGAAACACAAATGGCCAAACTGGAAACCAGAATAATGGATTTGCTGTGACCCAGAAGTGCAATGACCCATTGTCTCGAATGAATCTTGACGATATACGGTAAACCCCCTATGATAAATAGTTTGAGATTTGAAAGGAAACTGAAGTGGCCTCTCCTTGGGATCACTGACCCTGAGCAAAAACCAAACTTGCCACCTTTTCTTCTTACTACACAACCATTCTTTAATGCGAAAGCATTAACTGTCTCATGGAGCGAGCCGACGACAAGTTTGAAGCGCGAAAACGGCACCTTAAATCCTTTCTCTAAGTGGAGCCTGCTCCCAGCTATGAAACCACGCGAAAAGCCTAGACATGGCACCTAGCTTTCCTGATCCCAAAGGAGCGAAGTAAAGCTGATGTTTTTTCGGCTTCTGTCCCATTGGCTGGCGCGCGCCACAAGGCTCCCATTGGCCGCTGCGCGTCCGTTTCAACGATCGCTCACCCAATGGCGCTGCATGTCTGCGAGGCAGCGGCTTCACCGCTCCATGCCCAAGGTCAGTGCGTCGTACACCGCAGACGAAAGAAGGGAGCGAAGAGCGGCGTGCGTGCTTTCGCATTCACAACTCATAGGAAGTGCTAGGTGTACCTCGAGCCTTTTTCTGTACAATGCATACTTTTTGCAAGACTGATTCGGCTGGCGTTTCGAGAAACTCCCTGTATACTGAAAAGACTGTGCTCACTTGCAAAGATGGCAATCTTTGCAAGTAGGGTTTTGTGTTTTGTAAAGATGGCAACCTAAAAAGAATGGCATCGACTAGCCTGTACAACTGAGCACTCTCTTTATGGTAGTGATAGGGCATTTTACAACGGATGACGACAGGGAAAACTCACCCCAGGTGGTCCAGAAGGTCAACGCCGGCATTCATCATAGCCAAGGGGTTGGCAATATTCTTCCCGGCAATTGACTTTCCGGTGTTTCGTGTGCCCTAGGAAAAGGAATGCGTCGTAAGGTTTTTACTCCTGTTCTACGCCTCGGCTCATTTTTGCTCACACAACTGGCAAAATATTTCCTAGCTTCGGAAAAGCTAGGAAATAGTACAACACATTACCAGGTAGCAAACCATTTGTTTGTGCTTTATGAATAGCTTGAGCATGTCCTCAAGTGGCAGAAATACCCCAATATTTTTATAAATTTCAGAAGTGTAAAGGGCTACACTATAACACAAGTTGTGAGCAAAGCAGGTGCCCAACCCCCAACTTTTGTCACCAGCTGACTTTCACTTCAAGGCAGCTAAATAGTACCTAACTACTATATCAAGCCCTTCGATCACACCTTAGATACCTATCCCATACTCAACCGCCAAAACATCTGCTTTGAAAGCTATTAACTGCTAAGAAGTCTCTGGGTGGCCACAATCGTCAGCAAAGTGGGCTCACCGTCTCAAACACAGCATACTCGTGGCCATAATTCCTGCCAGATGTGATGCCAGGCCCACCAACAAGACCACAGGCGATGTTGGTCAGGATGTTTCCGTACAAGTTGGGTAGAAGCAGCACGTCAAACTGGGCTGGATAAGACACCAACTGCAGGCAAGGGAAAGTCACTTCTTAAAGTTGGAAGTATCTTGGAGGGGGTCTCATAACCCCTTCACTGTATTAATTTCGACGGGGGTCTCATAGCTCCGGCATTAGTGAAACTATGATCATAAGGACTGAATCTTGCAATAAGACATGATTGGTTTTTCAGTAAGTTTGTCATTTTCTCCTCACAAGCGCATGTTTTTGATGTGCTTGATCAGTTTAATTTTTCCTTTTATTTAATTTTGCATGGAATTTAAAATTCATATTTGTGCACTGTGCACATGCACTCCCGCCGTGCTCAGTAGCTGTATAACCCTGGTTCTGATAGTTTTTTTTTTCACAGGGAGTTCAGATTTTATGTGTAATGCAATTGTGACATACGTGTCAAGCTTTCTGCTTTGCACTAGCACATGCGTTGAGCTTCACCACCTTCCACTGGTGTGCTAGGAGCAGTGGCTTACACGGTGAAGCATCTGGGTTAGGTCAATGGGCTCAGAAGGTTTTCTCACTTATAGGTTGACATCCTTTGGTTATGATTACAGGTCTACCCAAAATTTTATATGACAATGCCAAAAAATACTTTTTGTTTTTTTTGACAGTAGTATTAATTTATTAAATATGGTAGTTCTTCAGAACCACTAGTCCATGCGAAATAAACTGCAGTGTGAGAGTTCATTCCTGTCCCATCAGTAGGCACCGAAAAGCGTCATCGGTTCACACACATTCCCAAATCATAACTTTAAATGTGTTTGTGTTTATTGCCCTGGTGCATTCAGCCATCTTTGGTTAGGTTTGGACTGGACCGCGACTGGTTTTGTGAGACAGCGGCGCAGCTCCCTCTTTCACTCCGTTCATTTGCTTGTTACGTCCACTTTCCCTCTAACGTAAGACGGAGTGTTGTCTCGCACGCTTCCATAAAACAAACAAACAAATTTGGTGTTCCTGTTTATGCAGCGTAAGGTCGGTCTGCCTTTGAGGTGCGGCGACACCAGTTTACGCTATTAGATGAGAAATTTAGTCGATGCAGTAGGACTGCTAGCCTTAGGTTTTTAATGTGTATCACAGACGACCACACGCCGGTAATCTGATGGTGTGGGGAGATCATGTCCGTAATTGGGCTGTTTCATTGTGATTTTCAAATTTCAATGGGCAGAATCTGAACAAAAACAGTTCAAAATAAGGACTTAACGCAGGTGGCTGATTTTCTTTAGTGCCTCATATTTTTACAAAACTTACACAAAAAGCGTGTTTCTTTTACCATCCGGCGGCCGGTTTCTTTCCCCTGGAACGTGGGGCTAAAGATGCAAACTGCCAAATGTTCTACTGTTCACCAAAGCCAATTATATATACTTTTTCCTAACCTAAACAGGCACAGAACCTCACAAGCACCCAAGGTTAGTCGCAGTCGAGATTCTGATGAAAAAACCATTTGGTCATGACTCGTAGCACTAAAACTTTAGTCATCTTTCAGGTAGCATTGATGAAGGTCCCTCGGTTTCACAAAGAATCTATTTTTATAACGGGATATCCAAAAAATGCAACCTCTTCTAAAACATTTTAGAAACATTTGTGAGAATGCATTGGCCTATTTCAAAAGCGTCAAGTCAACTTTAATTATATTATATATATATATATATATCTTATGTGATATTAATTTCAGTTAAATTAATACTATAACCAGTTCAACAGGATACAGCTCATGGTTTCATGTCTGAGCTGTGTCCATACTCTAATTTATTCTCACCTGCATGCTGCAGTTGTCGATGATCATGTTGTCGAATTCAATCTCTGGGTAGTCAACCGAAATTTCTTTGCAGCACTTGAGAAACAGCCCGTCGGAGAGCTTCCTGTAACAAGACCAGTCATGGGTGACAAGAGTGGCATTATAAACTTCAATCGCAGCATCGAGCCGTCGTTAAGGATTTATAGAAGGTATTATACAAAAGTAGCTGTAAACAATACACTCTGCGAAAGTTGCGTTACTGTAAATTTTGTTCAAATAATTCTCCGTAAAACTAGGGATAACAAGACTGATGAAACTTGGGAGCCCTAACCAAAAAATTATTTTGTAGTGCCCCTTGACGAGGGGAGACAGGAACAGTGTATTTTCTAGCACTATGATGTCTATGACTATGCATTTCTCACACATTCCTTATGCAGTTATGCTTCTGACTCTGCTTCTGTGCTATTCTGCATTCACTGCCCCAGCTTGTGCAGGGTTAGAGAGGCATCTGTCAGAATTATGCAGCACTTCTGTACCAAAGGGCTCCACTACTCAGTCAGCAAATAGTACAAACAAGTGTATGAATCGATGCAAAAGCTGATAACAACAGAGCTTCTGGACTTTCACATCATATACATTTTCCTTTTTGAAGTGGAAACTATAGGCTACCCAAATCTAATGTTCTCAAATTTTGTATCAATTTATTAGGTTTGTAAAATGATCCTTCTCCAACTGACTGTCCTCCTGGGATAAAAATCCCATTGTTGTGGTCAATAGTTCTTCTTCCGCACCTTTAACGGACAAGTGTTTCAGTGAAAAAAGTCAATCTTCTTTTCTGCTCTGGATTGCTCATATCTGCTCCCTACTCTAAAGTTCTATTTTTATGTAATCAGCGTGGGCATCAAGGTAGCCACAGTTGGGCTCCTTTTGTATTAAATATAAGGTAACACACTGTTACATAAATGACCATTTAGGACACAGATAAGCTGTGCTCAGACAATTCTTTGATGAGTACACAAATAGCACATGCTGCATGTTTCTGAAAGCAAGAACTAAATGTTTGCACAGAAAATTACCACCTCACTCAAAGGGAGTGATACTTTGTACAATGCAAGCTTACAAGAGGAGTATGTCCTTTGGTTTTGCCAACATATCTCCCTGCCTAAACACCGAGAGAAGCACACATAAACCCAGTCCTGGGGCCTCAAGCAATTAAAAAAAGCTCACAATATAAAATATAGGTAACTAAGTAGTGTGGTGCGGATATTCGAAAAGTAGTTTTTAGTAATACGCTATTCGGTATTCGCTTCGAGTTGAGCTGCGATATTGGTACCTTTCGAAGTGTTGATTGCAGCGGGTTAGCCCCGTTGAGTGCGCTTCTCACCGACCACCAGTGCACTGCGGGGAAGCAATACCCGCAAAGCTCGCCGGCTTTGCAAGTGTTGCTTCCCTGCAGTGCGGAAGTGCACGGGGAGAAGTGCACTCAATGGGGCTAACCCACTAAGATTATGCAAGAGTATATTAGGGGCGAAGCTCCTTAGGGTCTAGCCTTGTCCGTCCAGCGTCCGTGCTGACATCGATCTTGCTGGTGCTCGTGCTTGTGAGCTCACGTGCTTGTGTAGGGAAAAAAAAATCATGAGAAAAAAAAATTGTTTGCGCAGTCGACAGGATTCAAACCTGTGCAGGGAGACCCGAATGGACTTCTAGTCCATCGCCTTAACCACTCGGCCATGACAGCGGGACGAGTAGGGGGCTCTGAGATGTGGTAGTATGGATGATGTCATGGATGAAACGTTACATGTAGCCGCTCAACATCTATACAGGAGAAAGCGCTGCGGTCAAATGCGTATATAATCGCGTTAAACTTTGCATGCATTGGCTCAACGTTTATAGACGAGGGGGCGCTGCGGTCAAATGCTCAAATGCGTATATAACCACGTTCCATACCACACATTCTTTTTCTGACTGGATGAAAACGAACGTAAGGCTCGGCATGCTGCGGCTCAGCGTCTACGCAGACAAGCACCACCAGAGCTTCGCCCCAATCAACATCATTCACCACGTGGAGATGCGGTCAATTTTTTCTTCCATGGTAACCCTGGAGCCGGGGAAAAGAAGGGACGTTTTGTGTCTGTCCTACGTCCCTTCTTTTCCCCGGCTTCAGGGTTACCACACCAGTATTAAACCAGCTCGCCTGCACCCTTGCTTTAGTATATTCTAAGGCAGTGATGTCTCCACAGCCTGCGTTCATCATCCATGCTTATCTTGTTTATATTTCGTCAAATTTGAAATAGAAGAAACAATATTTGCACATACCAACCAGATTTATAAACCCTACATTAGGATAACTGCAACAAATCTGTTATTTACATGCCACAGTTCATATAGTAGTTATATTAGTTAAACAGCTTAGAAGTGGACAACCTTCACGAGTTCAGATGAATTTTCATTTAAGCATGGCGCACGGTAGTGAAAGACTTTGAGCAACTATTTGATATTTTATTTTCAACCAAAACCACTATTCGCTTCAAACTCAAAATTTACTATTTGCAAATGACTATAACTAAGCGTAAATATATGCATATGATTGAGGCATCTGGCTCTGTAGTTAGTTTGTTCAAACAATAAAGCTGCTATAGTTGGTCAAACTAACAACAGATAGAGCCACTAAATATATTGGCACCCCATTCCTCGATTTTCTTGTGGGTGGCACCATTTTGATGCTTAGTAGAGAGGGTGCAATTGGCAATCGTTCGACAATGGAACTTCCCGAGCTCTAGACAGGGTGTCAGGAAGCTCAGACGGTATAACTTTGCTATGTCGCGGACCCTCTCAACGTTTCTGGAGTATGGATAAGCGTTTCCTGCAATTTCAGACAAAGTTTTGGATGAGCGGCAACAATGATTTCAGGCACCAAGATGGCTGAAGGCACCAAGACGACTCGGAAGCGTAGCTTATCTATGTGGCTCTAACAACAGGCACAGTCAGCTGGAGTGGCATGAAGAGGGACTAACATGATGTTGGCCTTGTGCACAGCTGTGATCTTCTTCCGCCCATTCTGCCTGGCGAACTCAAAGGCGTAGCGAGCAATTTCCTCAGACTTCTTGCGTGTAATCAGCTTCAGACTCTCCACGACGCCAGGAACGCTCTGGAGGCAAGGAGGGGAGCAACAGCAGGAGTTAAGAAACATGTGTTACATGGCATGTGACAGAAAAGATGTGATGGCGCAGCATGGGTTGAGAGAAAGATCCAAAGGTGGCAAACCAGTCCAGCTTAAAACGGGAACTTTTACTCCTAAAGTTCTATCTCAATGTGCCACCCAAAGATACTTATGTGGAAATTATATTTCAAATTCAGCGACCAAGTGCCGAATGTGCGTGGAGCAAAAACTTGCACTGCAGAATTCTATGACACAAGTTCAATCCTCACTTTCAATCCCCACTTATGCAGGTTTTGATGTGGATGAGTAGTGTACCGGTGTACATTCGTGTAATCGCCACTACACAATGCACTTGAAGGACTCTGGCTCAAAAGGCATACTGCACTGGCCCAATTGCCCATCCAGGGTGAAAATATGAACCAATTCAAGACAGAATGACTTCCTGCCATGCAAACATCCATATCCACATTTGATGGTACAATCAACCCGGCCTCCAATATGTCCAATTAATTTGACAAAAAAACCACGGTTGCCCAAACTAGGGGGACGTTGCAAACTTTTGTCGAACCTGAGGCTCGTCTGATTCGGCGAGCCTTTGAACTTCTGTCAATATTCAATGAAGTTTGACTTCTCAAACGGTGTTGCGCAACTTCTATGCAACAATTTTAAATTTAAAAAGAAAATTGTTTACATAACAGCTTTTTTTATATTTTACTTAATAATTACCAGTGATTACGCACTATAAGTAGCAAGAATGTTAACTTATAATGATTTAGCAGTTATTTGGCTGCACCCCTTCTCTGCCAGGCGGTGCCAGTTCATTTTCCATGTATGCACATGATAGTCAAACTCCTGTCAAACCTCCAGTCGAAGTTTGGGCTAAAAGTTTGAGACGATCAAAGCTGATCAAACTCCTTGGCAGGTTCCTTAGTCTCAACTGAGTTATACAAAAAGATGGTGCCAGTAGATTGAATGCATTTTCTACAACATTAGCTTGAACTGGAGAATCAAGCTTTCTGATTGACTGATGTTGGCTATCATGAAGCTAGGTGAAACGAAAAACTTTTGTACAATGTCTACATGGAAGCTCCAAACAGCTTGTCTATTACGACCAGTCTAAAGTTGATAGATAAGTTGGTTTTCGCTAGGGGTTTGTAGGCCAAGCTGCCTGTAATTCAGTCTGCTAAAGGACAATGCCAGCCCATTTGCCGTCTGGCTAGCAGGCTCTACCAGCTTTCCCTGCCCCGCAACGACTGCGTGGGGCCGCCATTTTGAAGCCGTTGATTGCAGCATCAAGACATGGTTCTAAAACTAGGCTCGGGAGTTTTTACTAGACTCTGCAATATGAAAGCGCGCTCTGTGGTGCTACAGTGCCTGGAATGCGCCTTTCACTGGTGTGTTTAGCATCCTATATATGCCACCCACACATCGAAGGCAGTCCCAAAGTGGCGAGATATCACGCCGCAGGAACCGGCATTTCATGCTGTCGATCTTCACAATCCCAGCAGTCGGCCGTAGAAGTTTTGACAACAAATACAAACAAATGCTAGCGTTTGCATCGTGTCGTGGCTGCAGAAGTATCCACGGACTGTTGAGCGGAAGAGGGACCTACAGCGGAACAGGTGCCTGCTGCATCCAAGTCCATTGCCGCGCCTCCACTGGGATCGCGGCAAGCAACGGCGTGACGAGTCATCCGGCGAAAATTGGGGGACCACAAACGAGGACGTGGCAGATGCACCGGTCGGGGACGTGTCCCAGACGTCGTGCCATTCGTAGTGCACGTCGGCCTACCTCGTGTTCGGCGCAGCTGTACTCTCCTTCGGTGTTCTGCCGGATGAGGACGATGTCGATGCCCTGGTGCCTGGTGTGAACTCCCGGAAAGCTCTTGCAGTGGATCACGTTGACAAACAGCCCCAGCCGCAGTCGCAGCTCCACGTTGCGCGACTTGGCATTTGGAGAGTTGTGCCGCGTCTCTATGTTGCCTTTGGGGATGGGAAAAAGACGGGCCAAAGTTCGTCTGCTCAAACTGCAATCGCTGCTTCCAGGCAAGCCTGTATGAACTTCGACAGGCCACTTTTCAACACATTTCTAATGCGTTGTACCACACCATTGTCACTCTGAGAAAGGCTGACCCTTTTTTTAGAAATAAAAAGCTTGTGCATTTATTTTCCGAGAATGCTTATGAAGGCCAATCATTGAAAAAAATGTGAGTAAAAATTGCAAAATTGTAGTCAACAGGCAACTACGTAACCTTTCAAATTCGTGTAAAGTGCAAAGAGGCTGCTTGTGACCTTGCTTTTTATTGTTACGTACATCCATATATTCTTGCTGTTCAGTAACCCTCAATTTCCAGCGTTTTATGCGGATGACATCCAGGCAATGTGACCCCTAGAATATTGATAAAATGGAAACTTGGGCGAGTTGGTGATTCATATCTTAAGGTAACAGTGCAAGATCAATCACACAACACAACGCACAGAAGGACAAACACACGCGCTGACTTACAACTCTTTGTATTCTGCTACTTCTTTGTTCTCTTCATCCTTAACACTGTCTCAAAAAGAGCTCGAATTCTTATCCTGGTAATTGCGGTGGGGAGTGAGAAGCATATTTAGAAGTGTTTCCTGTATTCGTGTTATTGTTGCTGGTCATGGAGAGTCAACCCAATGAAGAGAACAAAGAAGTTGCAGAATACAAAGAGTTGTAAGACAGCATGTGTGTTTGTACTTCTGTATGTCGTGTTGTGTGATTGATCTTGCACTGTTAGCTTAACCTAGAATGTCCTTGAGGCATAATAAACTCAATGAATGATGGTCACTTTTTTATGAACTAGAGCAGTGGTTCTCAAATGGGGTTCCGCAGATAGGGCGACCACCTTCCTGCCAGCGAAATGCAGAACATGCTGAGTGGGGGGGATGGTGTAAGAGAAAACAGTACTATCACAGCGACTCTAGAAAGACGACTATTAGAGGAAATTTATTAACTTGTATACCGCAAATTGTGGCTCTGCAAACACATTTATTATCATGTGCTGTCCGAGAGTTTATTATGTAGGGTGTCTGAATTCATCAGGCTCGATCTAAAATTGACCGTAAAAATCGATGCCTGCACGAAGCAATCTAAACTTTTCGTCAAATGTGTATTTAACAGATCTGTTTTTTCTTGTAAAACAGATGTTTTTTTTTTTTATGTCAAATATGTTATTAAATGTGTCTAAGTTGAAAACATCAAAAATTGGCTGTAGCAGAACTCCACACCTCAAAAGGAAAGAAACAATAAATCTTTTTCGGCTTATTGTTTCCTGAACACGCTCTCACACAAATTTAGATCATTATGTTTTTTGGGGTTTTTTTTCGACCATTACCAGTTGCAGACTTTTTGCCTTGTGTGGCCATCTTCACAAAAAAAAAAAATCTTTCCACAGCAATCCCTCACACTGAACGGACTGATTTGAAAATAATTGCAATAATTTATTTGTCAACGTTTGGCGAGAGATTTTCCCTCACAATATTTTGCGACCTGGGGGAGATTGAGGCACAACGGTGCATGCGCATCAGTTCTCCTGCAAGAACGACGGTCACTTGCCGCAATGCTTCGATAGAAAATAGCGTACAGTCGCAATTCGCACGAATACCAGCGACCTCTGAACTACCTTGTGCCCAGTGGCACAGCCAGGGGGAGCTGATGGGGCTCCAGCATGCCCCCCCCCCCCTTGAAATCCAGCCAACTCCTAAATATATATACACATGCATTTTGATCCCCCCACCCGCTCAAATCATGGACGTCCCAAACACCTCTGCACCCCCTCTCCCCCCAACCGAAAAAAACTGTGCCACATTGTTAGGCAGCGCCACGAGTTGAGTAGTGAATTTTGCGAGTGTGTGAAATGTGTGACATTTTGAAGATTTTGATATTTCTTGCGGGACGCGGGACACGAGCCCTTAATATGGAAGAGTCCTGTAAGTCAGGGGACGGGTGGTCACCTTATCTGTGGGCCCCTTGGGGTCCCAAAGGCAGTCTTAGGGTCCCCGAAACCCTTGACCATCAGTCAAGTTGAGCAATAAAATTTTTGTTTCTGATTGGCGCTGGTTGTCCCACAAAGCTAAATAGACCAAACCATATGCTCTGAATGAGTAAGGTTGATTATTCTCTGTCCCAGAGCTTCAAAGTTGATTTACGAGCACTTAGTTCTCTTCATTTACCCTTTTGTCGCTGTAAAGATCCAATGCACCCCTCCAACACCCCATCCTTCTGCCAACACAGAAAGGGTCCCCAAAACATCAGCGGTTGAGAACCACTGGACCAGACAAAAAGGGCACCGTGCAAAAGCAGCACCTTTGAGGGCCACGCCATTCCTCTTGATCGCAATGATGGCCTCATCGACGTTGTCCAAGTCATCATGGTCGGTATCCAGGTGAACTTCCTCAAAGTCCACAGGCACGCCCGCATACCTGTAAGACAAGAGATTGCACGAACGTCATTTGTCCGAGAGCGGGAGAAGAAAACAAAACACGAGAAAACCTTTACTGCACCTGAAGACCTCACGGACGTGCTTCATGAGCTCGGGGCCAATCCCGTCCCCAGGTAAAACGGTGACCATGAAGCGGCCCCCATACTTGGCCTTCGCCGTGAGGTGCGCCGGTAGTGCTTCGCCTGAAAAGTGCTGCAGCATGCGTGCAACTGTCAGCGGAGCAGTCTTCCGCACGACTCTGTCAAAGTTTCAGTCACTTTGCGGAGATACGTTTAGAATTGGGTCCATCATGGTCTAAAGAAGACCCGGTAACAAGAAATACAAATGTGCCGCCACGGTATACCACATTGCGGGTAAATATTCCAACGAGTCGCAATGGGCAGAAAATTTTAGGTGCGTTATTAATCGTCAAGGCAAGTAATGAAACAATGTCAGCGATTCTTCCCTCAATGCCCGTTGAAAGTAGACCTCCGAATCAACTAAAAGTCGACTGATGCAATTTTTGTTTCAGAGTTTTCCGACTAACCGCCCTTGTTCAAATAGGGCTTGTGTCGAGTTGGAGGGTCCGTGATCATTTCAGCTCAAACGCATCGACTGAATTTGTTGGAAGGTCTTCCTTCTGCAACTGTAGTCACTGATGGCCTAAAATGCGCGGGGCGTGGCGAGTCCTGGGCATATTATGAATGCAACCAATGAGATTTCAGCATTAGCAGACAAACATAGCACAAGTGTGAACATAATGAACCATGCCCTGCATTTCACTATAATCATATGCAGACATATATTAGCAAATTAATGGTGAACCACATCATCCTTTGAACTGGCTCTGCATCAATGTTTCATTTTCCTTCATTTATATGTATCTCAAGGGAGCGCTTCACTCAAGGATATTTACATGAAATCACTGTAAAACATATTCTCCTTTATTGTGTGCGATCGAGAAGCAGAAACAACAGCCAGCTATTCATGAGATTGCACAAATTCATCTCCCATATTTAATATAACAAGCACAGATGCAGGTTTTAATCCCAGTGTTAGTGAAAGGGTAGAGAGAGTGTGAGTAAGACAGAGCAAAGATTAAGTTATCTAATGTGGGAAAAGGCAGACAAACTGGCAGCGATCTTGGTGACTTCAGCAACAAAAGTAACAATTAGACACACAAAATCTCTCAAAATATTATCACTATGTGACCCAACCAACAAGCATCACTCTAAACGTTCAGTCACTATAAGCGTCACACTCAACTCAAAGTACTCGTGAGTCCCATGTGGGAGGACTCACGACTCCCTCGGGGTTTTGGAAAACGTTAATCCTGCCTGGAAGCTCGAAGAGGGAAAGACATCGCGAAGATGGAGGGGAAAGTTCATCGACTGCCCTAGTAAAATGGGCAATCTCGAAACGAATCGAGATAATTTTTGGGCATAGAAGTAACAGTTATCCTGCCGGGAAAAGTCTGCTTTTTCTGCACACCATTGTTTTTAACTCTTCCAATGCAAACTCCCCTGACTCCCCCTCATCATTGTCGGAACAGCATCCGAGATAACTGGACGCGGCAATCGGCATCACTTGGACGAGCACTCACGCGGACAATTTCTCCAACCGCAAGTCTTTGAAACGACCTAAATGTTCAGTCATATTTATAGTTTAACAAGTTGTGGAGCCGGCAGCTGAATTCAAAAGAAAACAGAGGGCTGACCTACGGTCGCCCTTTGCGAGCTAAACCGGAGGCGGAATGCGCAGCAGCTCGCCGTGGTTCCTCACCTTTCGAGGCGGGAGCGTGGCCGCTGTGGCCGATGGCAACAAGATTCGGGGCGTTTGTTGCGTGAGGGTCCTCAGCAAGCGCACCGAATTCGCCATACCTTTATGTCCCCCGTGTCCCCGTCCAGTCAGTCAACACCAGTCAGGACTCAGTCACTCCGTTCAGTCGAGACCCGAGATACGGACATACGGAGAGGAGGGTCGGGCACCGTTTTAGCGAGTTTAGCATCATCTAGTGGCGGCTTCTGATATTTAATTTGTGCGCGAAAACGAAACCGAAACTGAAGGCCCACTCTCTACGGCTGTGTTCTAAATCTTACTCAAATGGATCCAAATTACTCTGGCGGGTCGTGTCACGTGACAACAAAGATTGAAAAACGCTGGACGAGGGTAGGTTTTGGAACGCCCAGGTACAAAACCCTTTAAGATCGAGTAAATTTTGGAACACGGCCTACATGTAGGCGGAGTTCAAGTTTGTCTGCTTCTTGCACAGGTGTTGCGATAATAATAATAATAATAATTTTTATTTGCTCAGGAAAGCCGCGGCACCGCAGGAAGTCAACAGCCCGTACCATAGACACCCATGGTGCCGATGATGTCAGAACGCCGATTCACTGGACGCCATATTCGAGGGCGATGTTTGGAGCGCATGCTCAGAACGTGCTCACATTATGCTGCTAAGACTGGCAATCTTGATGGTGCGGAATGCATGTGGCGAAAGAACTGCGGAAACTCGCCGTCAGCACGCGCTCAACAGTCGCGCACACAGCTATGGCCGCCAGTAAATACTCCACGCTCTAAGTTTTTTTTTTTTTTTTTGCTGACGAAGAGGAGGGACTTGAGCCTATCCTCCTCGTCGAAGAATGCTTAGCACGTCCTGTTGTCCACTGAACTTTCTCATAACAAGAATTACAGAGAAGATAAAAGCACGTTCGGGAACTTTCAATATTTCACAATGAGGACAAAAAAAGCTAGAGGTACACCTAAGCATTTCTTATGAGTTGCGAATGCGAAAGCATGCAAGCCGCTCGTCCGCCCCCTTTGTCGTCTGCTGTGTACTAGCGCGCGCGCGCTTCGGGATCTCGGAGGCCATGGCGCAGCGGCCAATGGGAGCCCCGTCGACGCGCGCCAGCCAATAGAACCGAAGGCGAAATCGCGGAAACTAGTAGCCGTTTTCGCGCTTCAAACTGATGACGTCATCTCGCTCCATGATACAGTTAAAGGGACACTGACAGGGTATTTATGCTCGCCGAGGTTTTTAGTTGTACGTGACATATAAGAGCCCAACTACCCAAAACAGAATTTGCGGCTCGAAATTCGGTTTCTTTCCGTCTGAAAACCGCCGATCGAGAACTGAGGCCCGATTCTCAAAGTGAACTTACGACGAAAAAAGTGCGTACGACAAATTTGAGAGAAAATCCGTATTCTCGAAACGAAATTGTCGTAACTTTTGCACAGGTTACGACAGAATCCTACGACAACTCCGAAACTGCTTTTACGATCAAATCAACATGGCCGACAGCGTCGCTCAGTTACTTGGTCGCGACAACCAACGGACATTAATTTTTCTACGTGCTCTTCTCGCGCGTCCCGACTTCAAGCAGCAAGAAAAAAGGAAGAAGTACTTGAAACCGACCACGACGGACATGAACGCTGGATCTACACGCACCCGGGAAAATCAACAAAGGCAACGATCTTATCGACCAAGCGAGCTCGGCAGAATATAGGCCTAGCAGGCACTCCGACCTGTTCCGGCGCAGCATTGCTCCGACGGTCCTTTGCCAAGACCGTCTGCCCACGACCGGCTGGCTTGCTGAATGGAATATGCCCGCGCGACCCTTGTGGACCCTTCCCGTGTGAATAGTTTAATCGCTGAACTTAAAGGGATACTACAACGAAATTTCGGCGCTCATTTTTTGGTCTATATGTGTTCAAAAGAGCAGTATCACATGGAACATACCAATATCTTGTTAAAAAGGTCTCGAAAAGGAATTTTAAAACGAATTAAACGATTAGCAAAGAGCACCTGGTGGATGTCGCTAACGCCTCGTTTGTAATGCTCGTCTAGGAACCTTGACAGCTTGTGACGGAGGTTGTCTCGTCTTCGGCCACGACGAGAGAAGGGGGGAAGGAGGAACTCCCCTCTTCCCGAGAATCCCTTTTGTGTGTCGCAGAAGTCGCTATTGTCCCCCTAGAAGATTATAGAAGATTAACCCGTCACCCAAAATTCGTACAAGAGCAGCCGCTTCGCTGGCTGGAACGACTAGGCCATCCTCTCGACGTCAGCCTCGCCGTAGCTTTGCTCTTCTTGAGACGACCTACGTCACGATTGCGTTGGATGTCACGTGCTCTAAGCTGGGCCTTCTCCGAGCGCTTGCCAGAGTGGGCCGTTTATAACGAAAAATACAGCCACCAGGATCAAAATACAGACGTGCGATTGTCATTTACGGATATTGTGGATCATATTCAACCTATTTTTGAACACGACGGGAATATTTCAAATTTCGTTGAAGTATCCCTTGAACTTAATTTCAGAGGTCAATCTCTTCCCCTTGTCATCTCGATTTCCTTGTTTTCCGACTCAGCGGTGACGAACGCTGTCGTCGAAAAGGGACTCATTGATTCTATCTCCTTGGTTTGTGTGATATAGAGCTCAAATAAACGCCGTACGGATTACCTTCGCAGCACATTATGTGCACTTTGTTATGCCACTTTTATTCTGACACGACGCTACGTGGGGTTTACTACGGTTGATCGAATGCCATTTCATCGAAGCACGTTTTAGAGAATGGGCACGTTTTATCGAAGCGCGGTTTAGAGAAAGCAGAACCTCAGTTTAGAGAAACGCCGCATATCAAAAAGGGGACACTTAAAAAAAAAAAAAAAAAGGCTTTTCTACTTCTTGCGTGTATCACTGGTGCGCGTGTTAACTCATGCCCCCCGCTGCGCTCCCGCCGCTTCGCGGCGGCAGTCTGCGGCGGCTCATTACAAAAATGTTAACTCACCTGATTTACCCGTACACGCCGCTTCGCAACGGCCAAATTCGCTAAAAGGAGGCTCATCTCCATTTACTCTAACCGACACGCTGTTTCCAAACAAGCCCGCGTTTGCCCACACCAGGTGTGGGCACTGCGCGTGCGCACAAACCGAATTCGGGAGGAGTGAAGCATCTGCGTATGCGCAGTGCCGTCGACAGCGCCACCGCAGCTGCGTGACGTCAGGGCCGCGTGTTGGTTCGATAAATCGGGGTCGAAAACGGCGTTCGCTGTCAAGCTAACAGTTCGTGGGAGCTACGCGATGCCGGTCGAACCTTTCTTTGCCGAGTGTCACGTCAGTATCGAGTTGCTATCATGAGAGATCGGTCCCGAAGCGCTTCCAGCACTTCAATCAAACGCCGCGCGTCCGCTCCGAGTGTAAACAGGTATTTGCGTGGCTCTGCATTTCTGAGGCCGCGAAAAACGCCGCGGCGGTTTGTTTCTATCTACGCCGCTGTGCAAACTACTGGCACGGTGCTTTTTCCAACGATGACAGTTGTGTTCACTTCGTAGCGATCGAGTTTGTGGCAGTCAAGTCAACGTTACGAGAACCCTCAGTTGGGAAACTTACCGGTGAAACTTGGGCCACTGGCGTCCACCGAGACCGAGCTAAATGCGACAACAGCGCCACTCTTTATCATTTGTTTTTACTGTGGTCACCTTGAACTTCTAGAAAGCATGTTTTTGCGTAAAAACCAACGAAAAAAAAAATCTTTTTGTAGTAACTTTTATTGGAGTTTAGTACAAAATGAAGGGCGCGTGACGTTTTCTAACATTTTTAGTTTGCAAGGTTTTGCGGCACAATTAATATTGTTTTTATACAACCATGCCTCAGCGGTGATTTCAGGTAGCGTGTCCCGACCTAGGTGAATTTTAACTTCGGTCTTCATTCGCGGCGCGTCCGCTTGGTAGACGGGGGTGGCACTCCTCAAACCTCTTCCACCCCCATCTGTATTGGCGCCAAAATGGTCGATGAAAGCCGAAATAGAAGTCACGTGCAGTTCCTCGAGTGGCCGCTGCGGGAGAAATGGCGGCTTTGCGATCGCCATTTGTTCGGTCCGCGAGCACGGATCGGTGCCACTTTTTGAGAGCAGGCTCTATGGCATTTTCCCAAGTGAGTGGTTCTAGTTAGGGGTGTCGCGAACCGGCCGCGGTTCGAGTTCAACCAGGTTCGACTTTTTCGAACTTTTAGTGGAAAGTTCGTCGAACCTTGTATCGAGGTTCGACTCGTGTGCGCATGCTCGACAGGCTGGCCAGTTGGCTTCGGATTGGATGGTAATGGCTAAGAGATGAATTAAGTGCAGCGCTGATCGGCTATTTCAGTGAATACAGTACTAAAATTTAAGTTATTAACTTCTTCAGTGAATAGAATTAGTTTCTTTCAATTGCAGCTGTTCACAAAATAAAATAACCCTTTGCATAAGAAAAGAAATTCTCCAAACCTAGACATGCTTGAATCAAGATCTGGCCACACTGTCCACAAAGTCGAACCGGTCGAATCTGGTGAAAAGTTCGTAGGTCGAACCACTGATCTCTATGTCTATTTGCTGGATCGCGTTTGACCAGCTCCTCCTATGGACCGGAATGCGGTCACTGGCGGCCATCTTTAGGTAGAGTTATATCATCTCTAGCCATCATAGTAATATGGCGGACAGCGCAATGGCGGCAGGCTGCCATAAACATAGCCGTAGATCTAGTACACTGTACCGTGGGTGACATTTCGTGCTTGATTGAAGTTGTTCGACGAAGCAGATTATTGAAACCCGGCGTGAACGGTAGCCTCATCTTTGAGGACCCGGCAAAAGTTCTACGAAAGCACAGCACCGGGGGAAAGCAGCGCAGCTCGCATCAAAAGCAGACTCCGTACCGTCGTCTGCTTTCGATGCTTCTTTCGATGCGACTTTCGATACGTGCTGTGCTGCTTTTCTCCCGGTGCTGCGATTTCGTGAAACTTTTACCAGGTCCTCAAAAAACGGACTACTGTTTACGCCGGGTTTCAAAAACATGTTTCGTCAAATAATTTTAATCAAGCACGCAATATCACCCACGCTATTTTGACCGCAGCCTGCCAACCCACCTGCCAAAACGCTATCTGCCATGGATGGATGATAGCGGCTGCAGCAGCTTACATTGGCTAGAGGTGATATAACTCTACCTAAAGATGGCCGCCAGTGACCGCATTCGCGGAGCGGGCAAACGCAA